GGAGTCAAAGATATCGAAGAAAGCCAGAAATGAAAGCAGAAGCCTTTACCTTTGTTCTGTGTATTTGTATTTCATTGTCATTCCACTGCATTAAGGCATTGAATGCTTGCATTCTGTATATGTTGTAATCTGCTCTGAGTCCCTTCGGGGAGACAGAGCGGAATATAAATAAAGTGTGTTACTATAGTCAGTAAAACTAAGGGTGCATCTACTTTGTATTAATTAACGCCATTTGATACCACTTTGACAGCCATGGCTCAATGCTGTGGAAGCCTGGGAATTGTAGTTTGCTGGGGCACCAGCCCTCTTGTGCCAAGAAGACTAAAGAAAACCCTTGTAAAATGACAACTCCTGTGATACCTTAGCACTGGGCCTTGACTGTTACAAGTGCATTTATTCTACGTTAGAAAATTAATACACTTTAAATCTGGTTTCTGCCTCCTGCAGAATTTTGGGGTTTGTAGTTTAGTGAGGCTGTTAAAGGTTCCTCCCTAAACTACAAACCCCAGAACTCTGCAGGAGGCAGAAACCGAATTTTAGGTGGATTTTTTCTTTCTAGCGTGATGAAGTGCAGACAAAGCAAGTTAGTGGGGTGAAAGGGGGAACTGGAGAAGCGCAAGGTGGGAAGGGCTGGGGATACTGGGCGCTGCAGCCGAGCCCATCCAGCCAAAGGAAGCAGGGAGAAAGAGGCAGAGGGGAAGGCGCTGCCAGGGGAAGCCGCGTGGGGCCAAGAGGGTGGCTGTTGGAATGGCAAGCGCAGCAGCAGCAGCGCAGCCCCCCCCCCCCCCCTGCTGCCTGGTGCCAAGGAGAGCCCTTCCGCCTTCCTACCTTGCCGGTAGTAGAGGCCGGTGACGGTGTTGCCGTAGACCCGCCAGGCCACCTGGATGCCCAGCAGGCTCACCACCAGCCACAGCAGGAGCAGCTGGAAGAGCGCGGCCCGCAAGTCTTGCGCCTCCCAGTCCGACATGAACTCCTGCCCGAGCCAGGACAGGGCCCGCAGCACCCGCGTCGGCGCCTCCCACTCCCCGGGACTCCCCGCCGAAGCCTCCGCCGCCGCCGCCATCGGGCCTCCTCCTTCTCCTTCCCGGCCCTGGGACACCCAGGCGCGCTGCGACACAAGCCGACCCAGCACAGTCAGACGCTGCCACTGCCGCCGGCGCCGCACTGCGCAAGCGCAGCCGAACGCGCGTGAAGGCCCCGCCCCGCTTTGACGTCACCGTTGGCCTCGCGCGTCGGATTTAAACGTCAAGGGAGTCCCGAGGCAGAAAAGACCACTAGGCCCCGAGAGAGTGAACCAGGGAACATCCACACGCCTCAGGGCTCACCTGTTACTATTAAGGATAGCTGTTCTCCAGAGAGACTCACTATCCAAATTTGGTGTCAATTCGTCCAGTGGTTTTTGAGTTGTGTTAATCCCACAAACGAACATTAAATTTTTATTTATATACATTTGGAGGACAAATGACAAACCAAAAAGTACCGCATAGAGCCACAGCATTCTGTGTTGGATGTGACTCTAAAGCTGGCATGCGCAAACTTTGGCCCTCCAAGTGTTTTGGACTCCAACTCCCACAATTATTATTATTTTATTATTAGTTGACCTCTCTCTGTAAGGAGCACCAGTTAACATCCTGGCCGCCGCCGTTGAACCAGTTGGAATTTCCGAGCCGTTTTCAAGGGCAGCCCCACGTAGAGCGCATTACAGTAATCCAATCTGGAGGTGACTAAGGCGTGGACCACCCCGGCCAAATCAGCCTTTGCGAGGTACGGTCGCAGCTGGCGCACAAGTCTTAATTGTGCGAAAGCCCTCCCGGACACCGCCGACGCCTGAGCATCAAGCGTAAGTGATGAATCCAGAAGGACTCCCAAGCTGCGGACCTGAGACTTCAGGGGGAGTGCAACCCCATCCAGCTCAGGTTGCCACCCTATACCCCGATCCGGTTTACGATTGACCAGGAGGACCTCTGTCTTGTCAGGATTGATCTTCAGCTTGTTCCTCCTCATCCAGATAGCCACAGCGGCCAGGCACTCGTTCAGCACTCGAGGGGCCTCCTTGGAATTAGGTGGAAAGGAGTAATAGAGTTGTGTGTCATCTGCATAGAGATGGCACCTAACTCCAAAACCCCGGATGACCTCTCCCAGCGGTTTCATGTAGATGTTAAAAAGCATGGGAGACAGAATAGAGCCTTGCGGGACCCCACAGGTCAAAGGCCAGGGGTCCGAGCAGGCATCTCCCAGCTTCACCATCTGGGATCGGCCCTCCAGGAAGGACTGGAGCCACGACAGAACCGTGCCCCCAAGACCCATCCCAGCGAGTCGTCCCAGAAGGATACCATGATCGATGGTATCGAAAGCCGCTGAGATGTCCAAGAGAACCAGCAAGGTCACACTCCCCCCGTCTAGCTCTCTCCGGAGGTCATCCACCAAGGCGACCAAGGCCGTCTCGGTACCGTGACCAGGCCTGAAACCAGACTGTGACTGATCTAGGTAGTTGTTGTCATCTAGAAAACCCTGAAGCTGAGAGGTGACCACCCGCTCCAGCACCTTGCCCAAGAACGGGAGGTTGGAGATTGGTCTGAAGTTGTTAAGCACCGTGGAGTCAATTCCTAACAGCCCCTCTTCCCCCCCCCCCCCTCCGCTCAGTTGCTTAAGGAAAGGGTCTGAGGATGTTAGGAATTGAATTGTGGGAGTCCGAAACACTTGGGGCTGAATTTTGCCCATGCCTGCTCTAAAGACAACAGGTGCATCTACATCAGTGGTTCTCAACCTTTTTTTTACCACTTCACCAGGAACCACTTTGACCAGTGCCCACTTGACCAGGGACCATGGGCCACACATTGAAAACCACCGATTGACACCAATGGTTCCCAACCGGTGGTCCGTGGACCAACAGTGGTCTACAAGAACTAAAATATGATCCGCAGTCTCACTGTTATTACACCGTTCCAATGAGCAACTAGTCTTATGAAACCCTCATTGTCAGCTCACAGCAGCCGTTCCCAATGAAGACACAGGACCTCGATCCATTATCAAAGAGAATCTTTACTACTGGATACATGGACATATGAAAAGCTGAGATTGACCAGCAGCCGCTGGTCTCTCTTTATATACACTCCCCCTCATTTGAAAGTACAATTCCCGCCAAATGGAAAACCCCATGCAATCTTCCTGCCATACTATAAACCGTTGTCTCCCAAGGTCGACAGCTGCAGACAGGCCCGTAGCCAGGATTTCGTTTCGGGGGGGGGGGCAAATTGGGGGGGTTTCGGGGGGGGGTTCGGGGGGGGGCTGAGTCTGAGTGAAAGAGGGTCTAGCCTAGCAAACCTTTTGTATCATTACCCCAATACCCCCATACATATGGGATATATTGAGTATGGTGATCAGATCATGATATGAATAAACATAACAGTTTAAATAATGCACCAGTAAGGCCTTTTCGCGAACCACCATGAGAATTTCAGGGGGCTACATGCCTGCCGAGCCGCCCCCCCCCCCCCGGCTACATGCCTGGCTGCAGAGTTCTTATCAAAGTCTTACGTCAGGACCCTAGTTTTCAGCGCCAATACTGAGGGCCGGGAAACTGGATCCTGACACCTCATACTGCCAATGCAACAGGGATGTCAGAAGGGGAGAGGCTGACTACTCACGAAAGGTATGTACAACAAGAAGTCTCCTGACTGCTGCTTCTCTTCTTTCTGTTTCACGTGGTACCTGGAAGCAGGGGTGCCTTGGTGTTTTCATTTTTATGTCTGTTCCTGGGGTTATTTGGGGTGCTGATCCAGAAAATTGCATTGGATAAACCACATCAGCTCTAGATTATTAAATATAGTTTTCTGGTCAAAGTGGTCTGGTCAAGAGGTCCCTGGTCAAAGTGTCCCTGGTAAAAAAAAAATGCTGGAAACCACTCATCTACACTGTACTGTGAATGTGGTTGGATACCACTTTAACTGCCATAGCTCACTGCTATGGAATCCTGGGATTTGTAGTTTGGTGAAACACCAGCATTCTTTGGCAGGGAAAGCGAAAGACCTTGTAAAACTACAACTTCCAGCATTCCATAACATCACAGTGATGCCCAGTTGCATTCATTCTATAGTGTAGATGCACCCCTTATTCCTATTTATTTTACAACATCCCCCTAGCATCATTTCTGTCACTGACCCAAGAAGGAGGCGAAGGGGAGATGAGAGATAAAAAGGATGTTTGATCTGCAAATAGGCCTTTGATGTCTGACATCTCTCACGCATTCCATTATAGAAGATTTGCATAGTTAAAGCAGTGGTACTCCCTGTAGTAACCTATGGATGTGACTGCTGGACCATAAGGAAGGTTGAGAGAAGGAAAATAGACACTATTGAACTATGATGTTGGGGGAAAATTCTGCAAGTGCCTTGGACCGCAAGAAGATCAAATCTGTCCATATGCCAGGAAATAATGCCTGGCTGTTCACTGGAGGGAAGGATACTAGAGGCAAAGATGAAGTACTTTGGCCACACAATGAGAACACAGGAAACCTTGGAGAAGACAATAGTGCTAGGGAAAATGGAAGGAAAAAGGAAGAGGGGACTGACCAAGGGATTGGATGGTATCCTTGAAGTGACTGGCTTGACCTTGAAGGAGCTGGGGGTGGCCACGGCTCTGGTATGGGCTGGTCCATGAGGTCTCAAAGAGTCGGAAAGGTCTGAACGAATAAACAAACAAACAAAAATACATTCCAGGAACTGATGCCATTTCAAGAAAAAAAAGAGAAGTCCTTATCTGTTAACACATTCATTCCGGTGACTAGTGTTTCTCCTTGAAAACCTGGGCATCCTAAAGACACACGTACACAAACATTAAGGAAAGGCGACCTCGTCTGATGCCTTGGGAGTGCATCTACACTCCTGTAGAACGAATGCAGTTTGACCCCACTTGAACCGCCCTAGCTCAGTGCTATGGAGATAGTGGGAGTTGTAGTTTTATAAGGTCTCTAGTTTTCTCTGCCCAAGAGGGCTGATGCCTCATCAAACTACAGCTCTTAGGATTCGACAGCATTGATCCACGTCCATGAAAGTGGCGTCGAACTGTTTTCGTTCTACAGTGCTCGAGTCTACACAGCCATTAAAAAGGGGGAGAAGCCACCCCGCATTTCCCCTCTGGGGCTGAGATCGAGGCAAGAACAGGCGCTCTCAAAACTAATACTATTCAACGTGTCTGCGAAAAGATCGTTTCTTGGTCCGTCCTCCTGAATTCCCGGAACAGCGGCGGCTTTTCCCTTTCACTTTCGTTCGGCTTTTAGGAGGTAGAGCCCGCCTTCGCTGGAGTCTCTTCACGCTGAAAGGAGCCCTGAGTTCAGGTGAGGGATTTCTCTCCCCCCCCCCCCCCCCCAGAAAATAGCACTGCAAAAGGAAGGTCGCAGCCTGCTTTCTCGAGGTGTCCCTCCGTCCTCTTGTGCTTCCAGGCTTGGGGGACATCGTCCAGAACCTGGCTAGCCTCTGTCTCTCTTTAGTGCTAAGCTGCATCCACCCTAACCCATCTCTTAGCCTCTTGGGTTTCTGAGCTTCCAGGGCAGCAGGGCTTCCCAAACTCTGGTCTTCCAGGGCTGTATCTACACTGTAGAATTAATAGGTTTAACACCAAGTTAGTTGCCATGATTCAATGCCATGGAATCCCAAAGTTTGTAGTTTGGTGGGGTGCCAGAATTCGTGGATGGAAAAGGCATGGGCAAACTTGGGGTTCAACTCCCAGAAGTCCCAGCCAGCTTACTGGCTGTTAGGAATTGTGGGCGCTGAAGTCCAAAACATCTGGAGGACCAAAGTTTGCTGTTGCCTGGTGTAGGCGCACCCCAAGTGTTTTGGACTTCAGCTTCCAGATTCCCTGATCATTGGGCAAGGCAGATGAGGCCCCTTGGAGCTGAAGTTCACAACACTTGAAGAACTAAGTATTAGGTGATCACTGTTCTACGAACATCACCCTTATGGGTCAGGTTTAAATGCTAAACTGAATGGAGGGTTGTAGGTAGCAGTGGATAAGAGTGGATTCTGAAAGCTGCAATCAGTATCAAAGTGTCCTTTTACATGGGGTGTTGTATGTTTTCTGAGCTGTATGGCCATGTTCTAGCACCATTTTCTCCTGACATTTTGCCTGCATCAGTGGCTGGCATCTTAAGAAGATCCTCCAAGGATGCAGGTGAAACGTCAGGAGAAAATGTGGCTAGAACACAGCCATATGGCCCGGAAACCAAACAATACCCCAGTGATTCTGGTTGTTAATGTTGGAAATAGAAACCTTCTAAAAACCTCCTATACTAGTTATTTGTTGTGTATATAATTGTGATTGCCATATTGTATCTATATGATTTAGTATGCAGTTTTCTCTTAATTTTATGTTGTTTGAGGTTGTGGGAGGAACTAGAGACCGTGTGACCAGATCTGAGACTATTCGGACTGAGGCTCCATTTTAGAAATCAGTACAGTTAGAATTTGCATCAGAAGCAGTATAGTTTGGAAGGTATTCAGCGCAGTATGCAATTGTCAGTGTTAGTGTAAAGTCAGTATATTGAGTCAATGTTCAGTAGTGTATTAGACTGAAGAGAGTATTAGTCTGTATACAACAAAGAAGAGACTAAAACAGAATACTTTAAAGAACTTAACTATTTAGCCTATCAACCAATAAGAAATGCACCTACAAGAAGTTTGTAAGTAGGTTGTTGTAGGTTTTTCGGGTTGTATGGCCTTGTTCTAGAAGCATTCTCTCCTGATGTTTCACCTGCATTTGTGGCAAGCATCCTCAGACGTTGCATCCTCACAGCCTCTGAGGATGCTTGCCACAGATGCAGGTGAAACATCAGGAGAGAATGCTTCTAGAACATGGCCATACAACTCAAAAAACCTACAACAACCCAGTGATTCTGACCATGAAAGCCTTCGACAATACAGTTTATAAATAAATCAACAATGTTACTTTTAACTAAGACTACTTTTTTTGGTCTCTTGAGAGCATTTATTTATTTATTTATTTATTTACTGTATTTGTATAACACCTTTCTCAGCCAATTGGCGACTCAAGGCGGTTTCCAACAAATCAGTATACATAAAAGATAATAGACAAAAAACATTGTCTAGAATCAATATATTTTATGGGAGAGTAGATATTTTTTGGACAACTGAAAAAGACTTCTGAAGATCTGCTATATATTTTGTGCATTGGCATATCTTTGTTCCTTACAGCTCAGAAAGATAACTAGGTATATTAGTCTAACAACTGAAAAGCCTAATTTGCCTTGCATGAATACTAGTGGATATTTAAGGAGAAGATGCAAATGAGTATTTAACTCTTCTCAGGAAGATCATACTTTACAAAAGGTTATGATAATTCAAAATAGTGTGAATGCCAATTAATGTCTAAAAGGGTCATGCTTCCAAAAAGCTATGGAGATTCCTGGTTTTCCAAAAAGTAATGGTCTTTAAAAAGTCATGCGTTTCCAAAAGGGAAAGCCTTCGACAATACATTGTCCTTTTAACTCTTCTCTTTTTGATGGAAGGGACCAGAATGAACGCCTCTGAGAGCCTTCCTGAGATCGACGAGGGACTGTACTCTCGCCAACTGTGAGTCTTACGTAAGGTCATGTGGAAGCAGGAGACATTCAGCTTGAGTTCAAAAATCACGTTGATTGGAGTTGGTCAATAGTTTAATAGTCCAGGTTCAGTAACAAATGCAGGGAGCAATCCCTATGTTGAAGTGACACCTAGGTCTAGTGTGGTGTGGGGATTGGACTTGGACTCTGGGAGACCAGGGTTTGGAACCCCCTCTCGGTCATGGAATGCCACTGTATGTCACACTCTCTAAGCCTAAGAGGAAGACAATGGTAAATATCTTTGGAATAAATCTTGCCAAGAAAACCTTGTGATGGTTTAACTTTAATGTTGCCATAAGTTAGAAACAACTCAAAGGCACTCTACATGAATACTAAGGTACAAGGTAGTGGGGGCTGAAATAGGGTGAGAGCTGGGATTATTGGTTGGTAGGGAAACCACAAGGAAGCTTGAAAAGAAGACTGCTTTCAAAGATGCCAGGTGGAGGAGTGGCATTGCACAGGCTTTAATGGAGAGGGGTTTGTTTGGTTACATGCTGCAAGTCACTTCTGGTGTGAGAGAATCAGCCATCTATGAAGACATTGGCCAGGGGACACCTGGATGTGTTACGATCCTGTAAAGAGGCTTTTCTCGTGTCCCTCAGCACCTCAATCAGTGGCTGAGACTAGATGAGAAACTCCCTCCTGGGCGCACAGAAGAGTGGATGACCTGGAAGATGCAGAATAGGCTGTGCTCTGGCACCACAAGATGCAGAGCTAACCTTATGAAATGGGGCTACAAAGTGGAGTCCACGACATGTGAGTGCAGAGAAAAGTAAATAGCAGACCATCTACTACAATGCAACCTGAGCCCAGCCACATGCACAATGGAGGACCTTCTCACAGTGACACCAGAGGCACTCCAAGTGGCAGCTTCTGGTCAAAGAACATTTAGCACAATACCAAGTACTTTTTGAAAAGTTTGTTTGTGCTGTAAAATGCATTTTAACTGTATTCTCAACTTGCTTCAGACACAATAAATAAATAAAATGAAGAGGGGTGCCTTTCTTTAGGTATGCGCTGGGCCGTGAGGCCATGCAGAAGATGGCTCAAAAAGCTGTGCTGGTCTCTGGGATGCAGGGCCTCGGAGTAGAGATTGCCAAGAATGTGATCCTTGCAGGTGTGAAATCTGTCACTGTCCATGACCAGAACAAAGCCCAGTGGAGTGACCTCTCCTCACAGGTATGCTGTTTAGAGGCTTTTAACATAACCCTAAATGACAAAGATGGTCAAGGTCAAGCTGAGTGGACACTAGGCCAGCTAAAGCTGCCTTAATTAAAACTTTTCCTAGCCAAGAGATATTGGAAGTGTGGACTATATCACCCTGGCTGAATTTGGTGATGACTCTGGTTGTGACTACTGTCAGTTAAATGGTACATCTACTCTGTGTTTTAGTCCAAAACTTCAAGATATAATAGAAAAGTTTAATTGGTAGTACATACCAGGCATGTAGCCGGGGGGGGGGGGCTTGAGGGGCTTCAGCCCCCCCCCCGAAATTCTCATGGTGGTTCGCGAAAAGGCCTTACTGTGCATTATTTAAACTGTTATGTTTATTCATATCATGATCTGATCACCATACTCAATATATCCCATATGCATGGGGGTATTGGGGTAATGATACAAAAGGTTTGCTAGGGTAGCCCCTCTTTCATTCAGACTCAGCCCCCCCCCCCCGAAACAAACTCAGCCCCCCTCCCCGAATCGAAATCCTGGCTATGGGCCTGGTACATACAGTCCCTTATTGGTTTCATCTCATGTTGCATGCTAAACAGACCAAACCCAGGAATTTTCTGAAAAAGCTAAACATTGTTGATTCATCAAACTTACCTGAAAATGTCCAGGATGTCAATCTAAGTGTAAATATAACATTTAATGAAAATTGATTTTAAACATGCATTCTAAATCACACTCATATGCCTACTCCTGAAAACCAATTGTTTGATTAGAAACTACCCCCAAAAATTGATGGATGAGATTTAAAATCTTAATAACATCTTCATTTTGATCCCATTCAGTAATGCCAAATCTGGTGATTCTGTGATCAACCCTATGGTTTTGTGTAACATAATGGACATTTAAAATCATAATGTAAATACAGATGCTAGAAACATGGCCTCTGAATTTTCTAAATGGATATATGGGAACTAATGAAGATGCCCCAGATTGTGTCCAAGCTGTTCATATATACTGTATTCCTCTAATTCCTTACCCAACATTCCCTTATGATAACCTGGGCTAGGAATACAAGTTGTTTTTTAAAAGGTTTGTTGTGGGGAAGGTTGTTCTGAAATCTATACAGTAAATTATCCCAATTAAATAATAAATCATCTGAACACATGACAGATCCCAGCATATACCTCACTAAACAATTACAGTTGGATAATTTGTGGGGAGTTAAACTGCTTTCATGGTTTATCATGAGATTTAAATATACCGTAGCTGCATAATTTGGGAAGTCTCATGAGTTAATTGTTGCTATCATTAAAACCAATTGAAAGAAGTTCTGTCTTGTTACTCTCTGAATTTCATAACAAGTCATTTTGAATTCATGTTAAAAGCCATTTAATACTATGGCACTTGATTTCTTCAGTCTTTCTAGCTGCAGGGAATATTTTTACAACATTCTTGATCTGTGCTAAAAATACAAAAAATGTGTGCTCCTCAAACTGAATCCACTAATGTGTTAAAAAGCATTTCTTGCATAGTTTTATTTTTTTTTATGACATTTGTATCCTGCTTCAAGTGGAAGAGGCAGCTAATCTTAATAAAACCCAGTTTTGTTATGGTGCTCTTTTCCCTGCTGTTCTTTTAAGCTGTTTTGTTGAGCAATGTGAGCTTGCTTTAATATAAATGAATATAAGGGAATCTTTGAGCCTAATTGGAAAAATAAAAATTCTTAATGTGCCATCTGCACCCATTCCTTGAGATGTCAGACTTGTTTACAGTGACATATTATTATCTTTATCTTTATTTATACCCTGATTTTTCTCTCCATAAAGAGATGCAAAGCGGCTTACACATGGCTTGATTACGTCTCATTTGGATTATTGTAACACACTCTATATGGGATTGCCTTTGGAAACAGTTCAGAAAGTTCAGCGGGTCCAAAATGTTGTGGGCAGACTGCTAACAGCAACCAGTTATAGGGAGCATATAACCCCTTGTTCAAACAGCTTCAATAACTACCAGCTTCAGTGGCTAATAATTACCTATACCTATAAAACTCAATATGGTTTAGGTCTGGTCCAAGCCTATAGTGGTTCACTATAGTGAACCACTATAGTGGTTCAAGAGTTGGACTACAGCTCTAGAGTCTAGAGTTTGAATCATTGCCCAGCTGTGAAAACACATTGGTCCCTAGATAATATTTTTTCACTTTTCACTTTGCTGTGTTTCTTTGCAGTTCTATCTATTGGAGGGTGATGTGGGGCAAAATCGAGCGGTGGTCTCCCAGCGCCATCTTGACAAACTAAATAACCACGTCCCTGTGCTACTCCATACTGAAAGGTTGTCTGAGAGCTTCTTGTCTACTTTCCAGGTAGAGACATATAGTTGTGTTTTCCTTCCACAGAAGTGGGAGAGGAAGCAATTCCAATGAAGACAGAAACAAGCCACTGCACTGGCTATAGATGGATGAAAATGTGTATCCCATGGGTCACATGGAGTTCCCCAAGCCATGTTTTTGTTACCCTTTAAGCCTCTGTGAATCCCCTCCCCATTTGTAGTTTTGCATTTCTTTTTATGTTCCTGGGTTCATTTTCAGGCAATTTGTTTGTAACTTACCCCTGAAGAGCTCCCAACACTCCAAACATAATGAAAAAATGTCAGAAATTAACATACAAATGGCATAAAATAAACACAGGAAGCGTCATTACATTACTTCAAGGGGACCCAACTGTAGCCTAGGGAGCTTGGAGGTGAAAATTGCTCTTTGCCCCACTCGTCCACAACTGAATTTGTATCCCTTCTTTTTTAAATAGTGGTAAGACAACAAGTCAGTTCTTCCCGCTGGTAGTAATGTGCTGGCTAATTAACTATGACCTTGTAAGTGTTTTGTCTGTCTTGAAACACTAGGAGGAGATCTTGTCCCTTCTGAGCAATTCTGCCTTTGGTGGACTCGGGTGGATTGCTGTGCTGTGCTGTGCGATCTGCCCTTGTCTGACACCGAGTCAGACAAGGGCAGATCATGAAGCATTCTGAGCTTGAAAAAGTTGCTTTTTTTAAATTACAGTTCCTAAAATCTTTTAGCCAATCTTTTAGTAATGTCTGCTTGGTGACTGAAGGAGAAAAGGCAGATACTGGAGAGCACCTAAAAACATTTGTAAAAAAAATGCCTCTTAAATGGTCTTTATGATTTGTTTGGCCTTCTTCAAGGACAATATATGATCTAACAGCAGGAATTTCTAGAGTCAAAATTCTCGTTCTATTTACTGTACCAAGAAGAAATAAGAGAACTAGTCTTAAGATTTTTTTAAAAAATAGTTTAAAAATCTGAAACAGGTTATTTGTGGGGTTTTTTCAGTTTAGTAAATAAAATTAAATTTTCATTCCAGGAATTTTTCTTGTTTAGATTGCATATTGCTCCAGATGAAAGCCACTGAACTACAATACAAGCTATGGAATTAGTACACACATCCAACAAAATATGCCCTCTCTAAGACATTTCTAGGTTATCTGGGTGATTCTATTGTATGCTTCTGCTGGAAGTTGCCATAGAGTCACCTTGGAGGACATAGCAAATCCCTAGAGAGTGAACACTTGGAAACATACCTCTTTTTTCTGTGGGTAACTGAAGGAGCTCTTGTTCCCAAACTGGGGATCTATTTAGAAAGTCCCCTCTCTGCTGTGTTATATGAGTTGGTAGCACCTATGTTGCTTGTTCTTGCTGTCATCTTGCCTCAACATCTACTGCAGGTTGTAGTCTTGACCAATTCATCTTTGGAGGAACAGCTGCGTATCAGTGATTTCTGCCATGCCAACAATATTTGCTTGGTCATAGCTGACACAAAGGGCCTGGCTGGGTATGTGCTACTCTGATGGGGTTTGGGCCTTGTTCTGAGAGGGGGGATGTTTCTTTGGAGACAGGTGCTGTGCATGGCAGGAGAGTGGAATTGGTAGCTCGTATTAACCTTGAGTGTGGTGGAGGCAGCCTGGGCACTGAAGGGCAAAGACCCCACTCTGTGGGGACATAGTGATCCACCTGAATAGCTGGTACTCAAAATGACTGTCCCCATAGCCAAGTAGGGTCCAAACAGGTAGGCTACTAGGTTGAGCCCTACCAACCTATTACTGCAGTTTTAGTTTCATTGGGAGTAGCTTCTTAATGAAGTCTTAATCAAGTGTAGTTAATGGCTTCTATGTCAGTGGGCAATGAATCTTCCTGGAGTTTTTGTCTGAAATTGGAAGTAACTACCCTACCTCTTTTTGTTTAATTCTTGACATAGCTCCATTACAATTCAGACAAAAACCTGGACCGGAATCATCACCCCCACTGGCATGGAAGCCACCAGTTGCCAGCAGACTTAATTGTCCATTCAAGGCCATTTGCCATTTTGCACAACAGAATGAAAGTACTATGGCTGCAGTTCACCTCCTAAACATTGCAAAATATTCACAATGGAAAATACATCATATTATGTAGCTCCTCTGCAGACTAGTGTAATGCATGGTAAAACTGATTACAGCTGCTCAATAGGCACCAATAATGTATGTGAAACTTCAAGACACCATGTGAAGCTACAACGCACAACCACAACATGCAACATAACTATGTGTATTTCTGCCTCCATTGCTGTCAGCATAATACTATGTCATATTCACTCCAAATGCATACAGCATCTTATACATATGTATATTACTAACCACTTAAACTGCCATGACTGCATCCTTTAGAATCCTGTAGTTTGCACTAAAGGTGAGGATTATAAACTGCCAGTCCCACAGTTCCTTAGGCTGGAGCCATGGCGGTCCAAGTAAAATCATATTTCTTTAATTATGTATTGTGAAGTGACTCCTAGTCACCTGGAAATATTTTGAATAAATTATTGCAGGGAAAATCCATTCCCCTCATTATGCTACTGTAATAATTATAGCTAAGCACACAGGCAACTAGGTAGCGTGTGTGTGTGTGTGTGTGTGTGTGTGTGACTGATGTCATCATCTCTACTAATAAGATTTTGTGGCACTTCATTTGTTTGGGCCCTGGCTCCACTACAATGTTGGTGCTCCTGGCAGAGATGGGACAGTTTGGGGGTTAGGGGTAGTGGATCGATTGTACTGTATTGGAAAGGAAGGATGTTTGAAATATGGTCTCTTCTGCTTCTGTCTCTAGGCAGCTTTTCTGTGACTTTGGAGAATCCTTTGTGGTTTACGATCCCTCAGAGGCTGACCCTGTCTCTGCTACCATTGAGCACATCACCCAGGTAGTTTCATTCTCTTTATACAGTAGGTGCTTCTGGATGACTGGCTTCTAATGTTATTAGTCAAAAGGCACTATGAAGCATTTATGTGTTTCTCCCTCTTTTTGTTTAATAATGACAAAAATGGATGACATGATGTCAAAACATGGAAGGACTGCAGGTGGAAGAGCCTGACATGCAAGCCTTCTGTATAGTTTTGTGAATGATGCAGAGTAATTACAAAAAAGACCCTAATCTGAGGCTTCTTGACACTGTGCAGTACTGTGTTTTCACTTTAACCACCATAGTTATGTCCTATGGAATTCTGGGAATTATAGTTTAGGTAGGGACATTTAGATTTTTCAGCCGGAAAAATTATAAACCTCAGGATTCCATAGGATGGAATATAATTAGATAGTGTGAAAGGGCCCTTGGAAGCTACAAGTATCTCATCATTAGCATTCTGTTTCTGACGTGTTACAGGTCTATTCATATCTGATCTTCTGTGGCTATTTCCTTAATTAAGGACATCAAGGGCATGTGAAGTATAGACTATGGGCTACTTGTAGTCCATAAAAGATATTTATGTGGCCCTTTACCCCTCTAGATTAATTGCCTTTCAAATAAGCCTCTCCTCTACTTTCTCACTTTGTCTTCCTCTCATACACATTGCAGTGTCTTAACTGGTTTTTTTTTTAAAAAAACCATTCATTTTTCAAAACCAAAACTAGACTAGATTTGATTCTACTCCCCTCCTGTCTTTTGGCATCCTTTTTGCAGTTCATGTGGCTCTGGAAGGGTCTTTTAAAAAAGAACACTAGCCCCCAAATCTGCCACAGTTGTCCACTTCTGTTTTACATGCTATCAGTTTCTTTCAAAGAAGCCACAGCTGAACTCAAGATTGACTACTACCTCATGTATGTATTCTTCCCACAGGGAAACCCGGGTATTTTGACAGTGGCTTGGGATGAAGAGCAAGGACAGCATCCCAATTTTAAGAATGTTAACTGGGTGATCTTCTCAGAGGTTGAAGGGATGACAGAACTGAATGACTCCAAGCCTCGTTCCATCTGTGTGAGAGGTAACAGACCTTCTATTTCTTTGCCATCACATCTTTATGTGTGACTCCTCTTTACAGACAGAAAGTGTCCACAGGGGAAATATGGTCATTGTAGGCACAGGAATGGGAAAGTATGTCCTGTGATTATCTTGAGGTCCCTAGGACCTTCTCCTCAGATAGCTGTCCCCGAATGTACTAGAGATCCAAAAGGAGAATTTAGTCACGTTTTCAGGTACCCAAGGACCATTGGGAGCCAAACATGTTTTAACTTTCTATTTTAATGGAGCACTAAGGGATTCAACCCTCCAAGAGCCAATTTGCCCCTCCCCTGATGGTTGTCTACTGATGTTACAGTGGCGATCTCAAGTTCATGTACTGGCAAGGATGTCCAGTGAGGAGTTTTGATATAAGTGTGGGGTGGCATTTTGTTGTTGTTTTTTGTGTTTTGGTGTAAACCTGAAAGGAGCTATCTGATCCTTATCCCCCAGATAGTTTCAGCACCTTGAACAGTTCAGACTAAAACCTAGGGGGGAACACATAGACTATACTGTGACACTCACAGCAGAGGAATATTGTAAGAGCCGTCGCAAACTAGCGTCCTGAGAGAGCAAACTGTGCCAGCATGTCCGATGACGTCATAAGACTCCGCCTCTCTCTGCCTCTTTCTGTGCCTCTTTCTCCGTGCCAGCATGGTTTTTCCTTTGCTAGGGCAGAGATGCCAGCGTACTCTCGCTGTTGACAGCATTCAACAATGAGAGTACGCTGGCAACGCTGCCCTAGCAAAGGAAAAACCACGCTGGCACAGAGAAAGAGGCGGAGTCTTATGACGTCATCGGACATGCTGGCACAGTTTGCTCTCGCAGGACGCTAGTTTGCGGCGGCTCTAAGACTTCACAGCAGGAAATGAATTGTCTGGTAGATCGAGACATCTCTAAAGAAAATACATTTGTTGCTCTTTCGTTGAGGCGGCTGAAGGAAGATGACGAAAGGAACATCATCCTTTGGTAAGCGTCGCAATAAGACGCACACTTTGTGCCGTTGATGTGGGTCTAAGGTCTACCACCTCCAGAAGTCCACTTGTGAGAAATGTGGATATCCTGCTAAATGCAAGAGAAAGTATAACTGGAGTGCTAAGGCCAAGAGGCACAATACTACTGGCACTGGCCGCATGAGGCATTTGAAAAAGGTCTATCGCAGATTCAGGAATGGATTCCATGAAGTAACAGCACCAAAGCCCAAGAGAGCTGCTGTTGCTGCTTCCAGCTCATCTTAAGGACTCAAGTGTCTGTTTGAAATAAATGGTGTCAACTGTGAGAAAAGTTGTCATCTTCATATATTTGTCAATGTCCAATCTTTTTGAAAGTTTATTCCAAGTTTGATTGTTCCGATCGTCCTGATGGGGAGCATAACACAAAACCACTATGACAGTTCTTTTTCAAATACTGAAAACGTATTTCTTAAATTTTGTAGCTTTTCTGTGACACTGTACTTGGATATACATAATCTTAGATTACAATGGAAGATGTGTGGTGATCGTTTGATCAAGAAACATAATCTAGTAGTGTTCATAGTTCATTTTATATATTATATTCAATAAATTCATTTGGGTTGTAGCTCTCAACCTGCTTCCATGGAAATATACCAAAATTAATGCCAGAATGTCTTAAAATAAGTTCAGTGCTGCCTAATAAATTACATCCCATCTTTAATTAAAAATACATTTGTATAGATGAGGTTGCATTGATACCTTGTTGGTTTAAAGGAATTTTATTTAGCTGCAGTCATATTGGCCTCCTCAGAGAACAGGAGTGAGTCCTTATCTTTGTGTCTAGGAGAAGGCCGTCTGGAAATTGGAGACACATCTTCCTTTTCTCCATATAAGTGTGGTGGGATCATCACTCAAGTCAAGATGCCTCAGAAGTATTCCTTTGTATGTACCTATCTTCTCTTGTATGTTGAGACTGCAGGGCATATTAAAACAAGGAGCACTTTTTATTGCTATAGTTGATCATTTTAACTGAAGGAACAGCACAATAGTACTTCACTAGGAAAGAAAGTCAGACCTTTATTTAGGTGTTACACAACATGAGAAGGTATTAGGTCCAATCCAAGGCTTTTTCAGTTCAAGCTGAAAAAGCAGCTGCCTTCGATCCTGGAGAGTTATTATCAGCTAGGGTAGACTACATCTGGGCAACTTCTGGCCCTCTAAATGGTGAACAATACCACCCATCAGTCCTAGCAACTGTAGTTTATAGTAAGGTCAGAGAGCCCTAAATCCAGTGGTTTGACCTAATTAGTATTATGCCCATTGAATTGATGGAACACCAGTGTTAACTTACCAAAGTCTCATCAGGTTTACTCTGCTTGAGACTAACAATATGATTCAGACTTTGCAGTCCAACAAATTTGGGGGACTGCTGTAGTGTTCCCAGTCATAGATGTTGTCCACCTCTGATGTAGTCTGTACTTGATAGATGCATGAGTGGTTTGATGTGATCTAGGACTATGTCATATAGCAAGTGTAGGGAATTTAGCTAATCTGTTTGTATTCCTAGAAATCCTTGCGTGATTCCATGGCTGAACCTAAGATCTGGACTCCAGATAAGGGAAAACTTCCTTACTATTGCACACTTCACACTGCTTTCTGGGCAATGCATATCTTCTGGAGTGAGATGTGTCGACTTCCCCAGCCCAGGGATCAGGCAAGTTTCTTCAGTCTTCCTTTTTCGCTTTCCTCCTAGCTTCTTAATGCTCTCAACCCTGGACTATGCAACATTTTGTCCTTCTGCATGAGAAATAATGCCATTATTTTATTTCTGAAACTAAGTGTCTCTCTCGCTGGGTTCTATGAGGCCAGCTATAATTGAATATAGTACAACTTCCATATCTACGAGATGAGTATTAGTGGTTTCATTTATCCAAGTCCAAGGAAATATGTCTAGGCATTATCTAAGTCCTCCAGTTTGGCTCTATGCTATCCTTAGGCTAGACGTCCTTAATTTCCTCACAAATAGAGGTGCCTTCCTTGTATTGCAAACACAATTTAATTCCAATATGTCTATATGCTTCACAATGACATAACAGCATATATATTAAATTAGACATATATGCACTGCCCCAAAAATTCCATTTATTCAATGAGCTGCCAGAACAGGACTTCATTGCAGTACTCTGCAGTACTGCAATATTCAGATACATCCTCAAAGTCTTAAATAAAAGAATACAAACGAGGTGTAAATACTTAACTTTCAATATTTATTTATTTATTTATTTATTTAAAACATTGATATTCTGCCCTTCTCACCCCGGAGGGGACTCAGGGTAATACACATACATAAACCTTAATTTACCCTTTTGTCCCTTCATCCCTGTCAATTGTAGCAATTCTTCTTAATTCTTTTTCCCTTTATAAACTCACTTAGCAGGAACAGCCTCTTCTTTAGTGTTTCCTCACCCACTGGACTCGTTCACACTCATTCACACAGGGGTTACATAAGCATCATGACATTCCTTTGCCAGCCTTACTTATCATTATCCTTTGGCAGGAAGATGCAGATAAGATGGTGGAGCTGTCACAGACCCTAACTAAGGGTGAGGAGCCACTGCAAAATGATCTGATCCAGACTTTTTCATATGGATGCGCTGGTAACCTAAGCCCTGTTAATGCTTTTATTGGAGGCTTAGCTGCCCAAGAGGTGCTGAAGGTGAGTAGCAGGTACTCATTAGGACCATCAGCTTTATGTGTTATTTGGCTGATACTTCTCATGGTGTATCTATGTTCCAAAGAATGCTACAAGTTTGTGAATGGGACGAAAGTTTATCTCAGACCAGGGATACCTCATTTGACAGACTCAAACCCCTTCTACACTGTCAAATAATCCAGATTTTCAAAGCAGATAATCCACATTATCTATTTTGAACTGGATTATATGAGTCCACATTGCCATATAATCCAGTTCAAAGCAGATAATCTGGATTTTATAGGACAGTATGGGGGGGGGAGCTCACTTGCAACTGAATAATTTTTTTTCTTGAATGCTGCCTAGCCTGCAAAGTGAAATATTGGGACATACAGGGTTGTTTTAAGGCAGAGATGGCAAATCTCCAGCTAATGATTTGCATGACAACTCCTTCTGAAATAAGATTCTATTCATAACCTATAAGCTGTTAATGGCACTAAGTTCTAGTTTGCAGGACAGGGACTTACTGCATTTGGATTTACTCTTGAGGAGGCATGCCTTGACCTGAGCTGGACTTTGTATTCTGAGGGAGGAGAATGCCCATCACTTCTGGCCATGTTTCTTTGCTTTGCCATGTTCTCATAACCCCATTAACTGCTGGAATGTAGATTCTTCTCAAAGTGAATCATATCCTGAGTCAGAAAAAGGGGTTTGACCTATCTTAATTTTATAACTAAATAATGCATATGGAATGATTTTAACACTTAGAAACAATGCCCTGAAATTATTGGTGTCATCATTATTATAATAATGCCTTTTCCTCCTGTTAAGAGTCTGAAGTTTTCTAAACACAGGCTTCTCATTAGTATAACTGAGTCAGAGCCTCAAAGTTGAAGCCACAAGAGATAATTTGGGTTTCTCTTTCATTTCCCTCAATGTCACTGTTGAACTTCAGGGAATGACCTGTCTTCTTTAAACCAATCTAGCTGGTTTTGGTCTGGATTATCCAGTTCAGATTGTCAACTGCACATTTACAAAAAGGGATTCAAGATTAGCCAACTTGAACTTAATGCAAATATGAGTCAATTAACATCTAGTTTTACAGCAGAAACTACTGCACATAACCTTCTCATTCAAGAGGAGAAAGTCTCATTTTGAAGAGCTTGAAGTTTCATGCTTCAGGTTTAGTGCTAACTTAGGTGTGGTCAGGCACATATCTGAGGTGTATGGGGAAGTTCCCAGACCCCAGGCCTAGGCCTCTTTTTTACATTATTCATATATGTGGGAATCACATAGTCACTGAAAAGAAAGGATAGACTCTGGACCCACTCCCAAACTTGGGAGCACTGTCTGGACCCATAGTCTGTGGGGGACAGATTTATACATAAATAGCTGATCATAAAGTTTCTGTTTGATTGTATTACTAGTATGATTAGGTAAGAAGTTCCAATGTGACTTCAGACATCGTAAGGATGGTCGAGTCTGTGGGCTTAACCGGAGGGGGGGGGGGCATCTATACAACTTTTTGTTAACCTTTTTCTGTCAATACAGGGTTGCCAGAGTGAAAACAGTGAATTTTCACACGAGTTGCTTATTACCTGGTTGTGTAACCATCAACACCTGCCAAAATTCTCTGGTCTACACAACTATAGGTACATGAGCCCTGTGCAGGTTTGGCCTCAAGTCAGTATGTAGAACAGGGAATTTTAGCACAAGTTGCATGTTACCTGGTTGTGTAACCATCAACACCTGCCGAAATTCTCTGGTCTACACAACTATAGGTACATGAGCCCTATGCAGGTTTGGCCTTAAGTCAGTGTGTAGAACAGGGAACTTTAGCACATGTTGCTTGTTATCTTGTTGTATAACCATCAAAACCTGCTGAAATTCTCTGGTCTGCACAACTATAGGCACATGAGCCCTATACAGGTTTGGCCTCAAGTCAGTTTGCCCTAGCAAGTTTATGTTACTGCATGTGCATATACACTGTATAATTAATGAAGTTTGACTTTGCCGTAATTCATTGCTCTGAAATCATAAGGGTTGAAGTTGGATGAGACACCAGCACTATTTGACATAAAAAGCTATGTTAAATGACAGCTCCCATTATTCCAGAGTATTAAGCCATGGCAGATAAATTGGTCAATCTGTATTAATTCTGCCGTGTAGATGCATCCAACAGTAACTACACTCCAATAGGTATTTCTGTGTAGCAGCACCCTTTGTATCACTGTGTAATGGTTGAAGGAAAAGAATAAAACCTTCAGATAAATACTCCATTTAAAGGCTTCCCTTTGAAAGTATTTTTTTCCAGACATGATATTGAAAATGCAAAAAGTGGACACGTATCCATATCAAATAAGATTTCTTCTACATCATGTTCAACTAATTTACATAATTTATTGTGGTTACTTTATGTCATGTTGACTGTGATTATGGAACCTTGTGAATGTGAAACTCTTGAGACATCTGCTAATAAAAATAGGTATCATGTCTGATGTTCAGGGGAAGGTAATTTTAATAATGATCATAGCTTCCTTCAAACACTTCCTTACTTATAATATATTATACTTTATAAACAAATGTGCTTTTTTCATTGTCTTACACTTTGTTACATAATATAAAATATAAACGTAACAAATATAATCCGGTTTTCAGTAGAGCTACTTTTTTCCTGTCTTCCATCTTTAATCCTTATGTAGTTACTAGGTTTGACCATTGGTTAATGCAGATAAGTGACAATCGATTCTTTGGAGATTGTTCTAATATACAAACAAATATTTTTATTCTCTGACAGATATGATGGTGGTACTATCATTTTAACAACTGTCCGCCAGATGGCATGTTATGCTTACAGAGTCTGGCTTTCTCTCCTCCAGTGCCCTTATCCCATGCAGACTGCAGATAGGTAAAAAGTCTCTGGAAGCTCCATGTTTGACATTTTCATTATCCTAAAGTATTTCCTGTGAGCTCCCAACCTTACCAGAGACTTTTTGTTCCCACTCATTAGATCATTTATTTTTGAACCAGTGATTTCTGAAATGGAATAAATCAATTACTGTCTGCCTGTTCAGTAAACCAAAAGGAGAGAACAAAGGAAAATCTCCTTCAAGTTTCTAATATTTAGGTAGAGTGTTCACCTATACATCTGTGTAACACATTGCCCAAAAAGTAATACCATGTTAGTCTGAAATATCAGCTTGCAAAGGGATCTTGTAGCGCCTGAAAAAGATGTTGGTAGCATAAATCTGCTACAAGATTCCTTTTTATAGAGTCGAAGAATTAGAGATTGATGCACTATCAACTTTGCCATATAATGCAATGTAATGGTCAATGTAGTCTCGTATAATGCAGACAAACCACATTGATCTGCATTATATGAGTCTGCACTGACTATATAGTGCAGTTTAAAACTGCATTGTATGGCAGTGTAAATAGGGCCTGAGAGGGAGAGAATTCATATTAACAAGAGAGATCTTTGTACAATTTGCAAAAGTTAATTGGTTATTGTTAAGTGTCTCCAAGTCAATACTAATTTATGGTGACCTTATCATCCTTTTGGGGGGTGGGGTGGGGAATTATTCAGAGGGTGTTTGCCATTGCCTTGCTTTGAGGCTAAGAGAGAGTGACTTGGCCAGGTCACCCAGTGGATTTCTATAACTGAGCAAGGATCTGAATCCTAGTCTCCTGGAGTTGTAATCCAACACTCAAATCACTGCACCACACTAGTTCTCCCCCTTTGCAGCAGTGTGGTTAGAAAAAGTGCAGAGTTACAAATTGAAGGTGTGAGTGTCAGGATCCCCCATAAAAGTATGTGCAGAGCAACTACTTAATAAAAACATGATATAGAGGCACCCTAAGACCTTAGCCTCCCTGTACAATATGAGAAATGCTAATACCTGAGAGAATTGTCAAAGCTATTAAGAAATATTTTGGCACATGTTGACTATAGAAAAACAGAGTGTTGCTGGTAATCCAATAGCTCCCACTCTGGCCCAGAATTGTAACTTAATTACTAGATATCTTATAGCATAGGTTAGACAATATCTTTTAACCTGTTGTTTTCTTTAAAAAGAGACCTGATTCTCAAGGGAGACTTAATGCAGAATGAACTGAAGAACATATGGATTGCCAAACCTTTTTGCAGCTCCACACACCAAACCCTAAGACCTATGCTGCATCTTATCTTAAGGAAAGTCCGTGGCAGAATATGATTTTAAACCAAAGCAAGAATGACAAAAAGTCTTATAGCACTTTAAAGACAGTTTGCAGGTACATCCTTATTAATGAAGTGCATGTGTTCCTGGGCATTACAGAAATAACTTGGAAAGGATAGGATTAGATTCCTACCTTATAAAAAAAGAAACAATTTCGTCATGGTTCAGCAGAATTTATGTTCAAAACTCACAATATGCATTTCTGAAATGAAATAACTAGGCAAAGTTAGCTTTGCGTAAGTAATCAAAAACATTTTGTATCTTCTAAATGGTCTACTGAGGTTTCAAAAATGCATCCAAAGATAACTTTTTCTTTCACTGTTTTTATGGTTTCTCCTTTGGTGGCCAAATTTGCAGATATGGAGGTGTTTTTACATGCCAGTGAGTTAGATCTCTGCACTTTCACATTTTCCCTTTGTTTTCTCATTCACACATACACAGTAAGAGATTTTGGAGGTAGCTGCTGTTTACTTTGTCTGTTGGAAACAGGAACACAAATATAGTAAGATTGGTTAGAGTAGTATCCTGTTGTTTCTAATTCAAGCTTTGTTTATTGGTTTATTGAGAACATGCTGCTGTGACCTGATACCAAAAATCTTGTGTTTCTTCAACCCTCCTTCAACATTCTTCCAATTTCAATACAGCTAAAAGATGTCCAGTTAGACAGAAAATGAGGAAAAAGTCATAGTGGCGGCGCTATTATAAATAGCCTTTGTGAAAAGGAGCTTAATTGTCATAAGCTCTGTTTACTGAGGTATACCTGTATTAATAATATTAAGAAATATTATTGAAATATTTCCATTCCACTCTGTATCATGAAATCTCAAGGTAGAATAGTAAGATTCAATGGACCAGGCTAAACATAATGGTACAACTAGTCCCAGAATCTTCTGTGACCTTTTCAAATACATTATCCCATTCCAAGAGGAACAAACAACAAATATCAACAAAAGGATTTCTAGGTAAAATGGTTGAGAACTTTTTTTCTCAGTCTGTTCACAGCAAACTTCATATACTTTGCACTTTGTGTTAGGGAAGAAGAGAGGGCTTTCCACTGGCACTGAGGAATGTGTTTGCAACCTACCACTGCAAAGTTAATATCATGGCCTTCTGGGCAAAAAGGCTAAGTGCTCTGACTCTAGTCTAGAAGGTGGTGGTGGTGGTGGTGGTGGTGGTGGTGGTGGTAATAATAATAATAATAATAATAATAATAATAATAATAATATCCCACCACCATCTCCCGAAAGGGACTCACAGTGACTTAGGAGGCACTCCAAGTGCAGTATACAACATAAACAGTACATGAGTATGCAACAATATCACATAAAAATTATAAAAACGACCACTATCAACACATAAAATAACACAGTTTAAAAAATGCAGAGCATCTTTAGTTAAACTAAGGTAAAGGTAGGTAAAGGTAGTCCCCTGACATTAAGTCCAGTCATGTCTGACTCTGGGATGTGGTGCTCATCTCCATTTCTAAGCCGAAGAGCCAGCGTTGTCCGTAGACACCTCCAAGGTCATGTGGCCAGCATGACTGCATGGAGCGCCGTTACCTTCCCGCCGGAGCGGTACCTATTGATCTACTCACATTTGCATGTTTTCGAACTGCTAGGTTGGCAGAAGCTAGGGCTGACAGTGGAAGCTCACGCCGCTCCCCGGAATTGAACCTGCGACCTTTTGATCAACAAGCTCAGCAGCTCAGTGCTTTAACCCACTGCGCCACCGGGGGCTCCCTGTAGTTAAACTAGCTGTCATCAATTCACAACTAAAGTGCCGAAGTGTCAACCTCATATGGGCCCATTTCAGCCTACTTGAGATAAAAAGCCTGCTTAAAAATTCATGTTTTTAGGTTGGATCGGAAGGATTCAAGGGTGGGTGCTAACCTTGGGAGGGTATTCTAGAGCCGGAGTGCCACTACAGAGAAGGCCCTCTCTCTCATCCTCACCAACTGCACTTGAGACGATGATGGGACCAAGAGAGGGGTCTCCCCTGCCAATCTCAAAGCCCACACTGGTTCATAGAAAGAGATGTGGTCTTGAAGATAGGTTGGACCCAAGCATATAGGGTTTTGTAGGTAATAACCTGCACCTTGAATTGAGCCTGGAAAATTGTTGGAAGCCAGTAGAGCTATTATAGTAGGGACATAGTATAGACACCTCTTTTTCTGCTTACAGGCTGCCTCAGGGAAGTTCACCCCTCTGGATCAGTGGCTGTACTTTGATGCTTATGAATGCCTTCCTGAAGATAATGTACAGCTAACAGCAGAAGACTGTACTCCAGTGAGTAATTGTGTGGTTTGTATTTTTCCACTGCTCACTTAGGATATATGATTTCCACCCTATTTTCCCCTTACTAGCCTAGAAGGAAGCCTAGTGTATAAGCCTCCACTGTTATTCTGATCTCTCTTTACTGTATCTGGATCTACTGTACGTCTATATTGCCCTGTGATAGGGCATCACCTTAAATCCACATATTCTCCCTCCCTGTTTGTCTGTCGGCCTGTTTTTCTCTCTCTCCAGGCCTTCTGCCATAGATCAATATTAATCTATTTTTTCTCTTATTTAGAGCATTTTTGCTAGATCTCTAATAATGACCATCTCTGATTTTTAACAGTGCAATAGCCGCTATGATGGACAGATTGCGGTCTTTGGGACTGACTTCCAGGAACAACTGGGGAAGCAAAAATATTTTATGGTGAGTATTTAGGGTTGATAATGGGGTGCAGAGGTGGTGTTTTATGAGAAATCAGATGAGGCAAAACCCACACCACAAAGTGCATTATGAGTTTAGGAGATGTTCTGCCACTAGTCAGATTGTGCATCCAGCACATTGGTGTGATTTTTTTGAAGCCATCCTTATTATTTATCAATGTCTTCTGGTTCACATTCTTGTTATCCTGGCAGAATAATGTGGGAGAGAACATTGTTTAGCAAAGGGATTCCGTGGGAAACACAGGTAAAGAGGAAGAGAAACCAGATGGTCATGGATTTGCCAAAATTTAAAAGAGAAATTCCTTTCCTGGTCCAATCTCCACTGTACCTTAAATCTTGTTGCCACAGTATCAGTTGAGCAGCTTTAAGACGGTGCTTTTGTTTTTGCCCTTTGTGTTATGATGGAGTTACTTTCAGGTTGATTTAGAATAATAAAATAATAGAGTTGGAAAAGACCACATGGGCCATTGAGTCCAACACCCTGTCATACAGGGAAAGCACAATCAAAGCTCTCACAGTCAGGAAGTTCTTCCTAATGTTCAGGTTGAATAACTGTTTCTGTAATTTGAACTAATTATTCCAAGTCCTAGTTTCCAGGGCAGCAGATAGGAAGCCTGCTCCCCCTTCCTTATGGCATCCTTTCAAATATTTAAACATGGTGATCATGTCTCCTCTCAAGCTTCTCTTCTACAGGCTAAACATAATGAGCTGTTTAAGATGCTCCTCACAGGGCATGATCTTCAGACATTTGATTATTTTAGTCACCCTTCTCTGGACACCTTCCAACTTGTCAATATCTCTTTTAAATTGTGGTGCTCAGAATTGGACACAGTATTCCAGGTGAGGTCTAACCAAAGCAGAATAGAGAGCCACCATGACTTGCCATAATCTAGACACTATACTCCTTTTGAGGTAGCCCAAAAACCCATTTGCTTTTTTAACTGCTGCATCACACTCTTGGCTCATATTCAACTTGTTGTCCACAAAGACTCCAAGATCTTTCTCACATGGATGTTGTCGAGCAAAGCGTCACCCATTCTGTATCTTTGCATTTCATTTTTCTGCCTAAGTATAGTATTTTACGGGCCCCTGGTGGCGCAGTGGGTTAAAGCACTGAGCTGCTGAGCTTGTTGATCGAAAGGTCGCAGGTTCGATTCCGGGGAGCGGCGTGAGCTTCCGCTGTCAGCCCTAGCTTCTGCCAACCTAGCAGTTCGAAAACATGCAAATGTGAGTAGATCAATAGGTACCGCTCCAGCGGGAAGGTAACTGCGCTCCATGCAGTCATGCCGGCCACATGACCTTGGAGGTGTCTACGGACAACGCTGGCTCTTCGGCTTAGAAATGGAGATGAGCACCACACCCCAGAGTCAGACATGACTGGACTTAATGTCAGGGGACTACCTTTACCTACCTTTACCTTTATAGTATTTTACATTTTTCTTGTTGAAATTCATTTTGTTACTATTGACCCAGCTTTCTAATCTGTTAATGTCATTTTGAATTCTAATCCTGTTCTCTGGAGCAGTGGTTCTCAACCTGTGGGTCTCCAGGTGTTTTGGCCTATAACTCCCAGAAATCCCAGCCAGTTTACCAGCTGTTAGAATATCTGGAAGTTGAAGCCAAAACATCTGGGGACCCACAGGTTGAGAACCACTTCTCTTGAGTATTAGCTATCCCCCCTAATTTAGTATCATCTGCAAACTTGATAAGCATATCATCTAAACCTTCATCTAAGTCATTAATAAAATGTTGAACAGTATTGGGCCCGGGACTGAACCCTGTGACACTCCACTAGTCACTTCTTTCCAGGATGAAGTGGAACAATTGGTGAGCACTATTTGGGTTTGATTGCTTAACCAATTACAAATCCACCTAACAGTAGCATTGCCTAGCCCACATTTTCTCAGTTTGTTTGCAAGAAAATCATGGGGGACCTTGTCAAAGGCCTTACTGAAATCAAGGTATGCTACATCCACATTATTCCCTGCATCTACCATGCTTGAAACTATATAAAAAAATAGAGATAAGATTAGCTTGGCATAACTTGTTTTTGAGAATTCTATGTTGATTTTTAGTAATCACAGTAATTTTAGACTTTTATGTAATAGATCACAAAGTTCCTATCTTCCATGTGTCCTTCAAATGAATTGGTTTTATCACCTCTAATTCTTGTGGTTTTAGACCATATCTTGTTCCTCTTGATTTGCATACGTAGTCTGCAGCCAGTGGCAGTCACTCACTGTGGATATTCGATATTGTAATACAGAAGTCCTGGAAAGTGTCAGATTGGGAAAGGTTGGGATATCTCATGACTATCTGTAGATTTTCCAATTGATTCTTGATAGGTCTATGAGTTAAAACTGAAATTCAGCTAAATTGCTCCCATTGCTAGTTGGGGATAGTTTATTCATTTAGATGTCGAAGTCATGGTTTGACTTTTCATATTATTTTTCCCCTAGTGCTCTACAACAGAGGGAATGTTCACTGCTTTCGTTTGAAAGTTGAACCCTGATTTTTGTATGATGAGTTAACTGACCTAGATCTGCTTTGCAGCTGTTGTTGGATTTCTTCGTAAATACAACATTTGTTAGCACAACTGCTAAGAGAAAAATCTGGAAAGATTTCATCTCACTGTAGCCAATTGTTAACAGTGGTCTCCAGATTATTTGATCAATCCTCCTATTGAGGAATGATACAAACAATAATAACAGTAATTATTTGGGGATTATAACCAGGGTATGTCCAACTGGAGGCCTGAATGAATACAATAAAGTGGAAATTCAGAGTGGTTTCATTGATCGTGAGGTTCTAGCATCTATGTCTTGGGGTATATTTGAAACTAGAAAAGATTACACTCCCCCTGAAATCTCAGGTTCACAGTTTGGGGGTGGTTCTGGACGGCAGTAACCAGGGATGCCTTCGCACAATTAAAACTTTTGCACCAGCTGTGCCCATTTCTAGAGAAATCTGACTTTACCACAGTAGTACACGCACTGGTTACTCCTGTTTGGGACTGCCCTTAAAAAGTGTCCAGAAATTGCAGTCGGTCCAGTGTACCACAGCTAGATTGCTCATTGGAACTGACTCCAGGGAGCACAGCACCCCACTGCTGAGGCTGCTCCACTGGCTCCCGATTGCCTTCCGGGCCCAATTTAAGGTGTTGGTTTTAACCTATAAGGCCCTACACTGTTTCAGTCCAGGATACTTGAGACATCGTGGCCTACCATACCAAGTAGATTATTAAATCGAGTAATGAAATGCTCCTCTTCACTCAGCTCATGGACAGCCATCACTTAAAATTGTGACACCAAAACTTTAGGAAAAACTTGAAAACGTTTCTGAGTGGAATAGGTTTTAACTAGTGATGACAGAAGCCTAGTACCTGCACTTTATAATCACATTTTCCTCCCTGGGTATTTTAGTCTGTTTAACTAATTTTGATAATTTTATGTCCAATATGGGCCATCTTGGGATTATTTTAATGGGTTATTTTATATTGTTATGTTTTAACTATGGTTCTAAACTGCCTTGAGTCCTTGGAGAAAGGTGATATAGAAATGTCCCAAATGAATAAATAAAATAAATAAAGCATTCTCCAGTTCTAGTCCAAAGGGTGCATTTTACTGACATTCATCTTTCTCTCTCACACACACACTATTTCAATGCAAATTGTATTTATGTAATAGATGTAATAGGCATATTTTTTCAGTTTGCTTGGCATGTTTTGGTATATAATTTAACTGTTCTGAATGCAGCATTTGGAAGTTGGAGACAGATATGACACCTAACTGGTTCATCATTGATCTTTTTTATTTAGTTCTTTACATTCACATTTCCTGGGCAGACTTCCCTAATATTTCATGATATAGTCATCATTATGATATATATAATTTATTCTTCCAAAGTGCATCTTTGGGTTCTGATTCATGTAATGCTTCTTCTTAAATATGGTAGAATGTGGGTATTTCCTCCAGTTCATTTAGACATCCCATGTATTGCAAAACCTTTCTTGAGTTAAAAGATCTCTGTCATTCACTTTGGTTGAAGTGAGAGCATAGTGAGGTCACCAGTGTTCAAGAGGCAGTGTGTGGTTGAGTCATATGCTGGTAATCCTGAACTTCATAACAGTTTTTTTTTTTTAAAAAAGGTAGATAGTTGATTTATAAGATAAAAGAGGGTTGGGTTGATGTTACATCCCGGTTTTACTCCTTTTTCTTGTTTGAAGGCCTTGTATTGTTTCTTGTTTCTTATAAACATTTGACGAATTGGCACAAAGATCTGATGAGCTTCTGGGTTTTTCTTCCAGTGCTTGTTTTGTAGCAAAAGTAAGGTTTAATTTAGGCTGCCAAATGTAGTCATGATGTACTGGAGTCAAATTATTTCCCCTGTTTTTACATGCTTTGGCTAACAAACTTCTGAAACATAATATAAAATGTGGTAAATAGCTCTGTTTCCACTATGGGATTCAATTCAGTGTCTCATAATGTTATTTCCATTCCCACCCCCAGAATTGCATTATTAAAATACAGAGCTTCTATGGCAGTTTTCTGACACTTTTCCTAAGATTTCATCAGCCTCTGTAATTTCAATGTACTCCATATAGGAAACTGCAGGCATAATTTATCTGTCTCTGGGCTTTTTTGAACCTGCCATTTTCTGCCAAGAGGAGGTAAAATACATAGAAAACATAATGCCAGAGATAAAGACATGATGTAGGTTTCTAGGGGAAGAAAACAGAGGATCTTATAGCCAGTCGTGACAGTGGGGTGTGAGTAAGGCAGAATCTATGTACAGATAGTCCTCGAGTTACAAACATCCAATTTTTAAAAAGGCTCATAGTTAAGAACAAGGGTGAGGCAAGAGGAAGAGTTATCATTGGGAAAAGGTGCCTCCACTGAAGCTTTAACACCAGTCTTCTGAACAGGGGCACAGACAGCAAAAATAAAACCAAACCACCACCAGTGTGTTATCTCTTCCCTATGTGATCCAAAGTGTGTGTGTGTGTGTGTATACACAACTTACAGAACCTATCTTGTTAGTAACGTGGGGTCTGCATGTATAGTTTCTTCTTGCCTTCTTGTATGGAAAAGATCCTAATAGTTTTTCGTAGAGAAAACCTTATACGTAAACCAGCGACCCATAACTGAGGAGAATTCTCCTTTCATGCCCTTCCTACACCACTATAGCACATTGGACCACATCTTGGCTTAAGGTCGTCACATTCATTTTTATGACCAACCTCCTCAGGTGGGAGCAGGTGCCATTGGCTGTGAGCTCCTGAAGAATTTTGCCATGATGGGCTTGGCGGCTGGAGTGGGAGGGAGCCTCACTGTGACAGACATGGATACCATTGAATACTCCAATCTCAACAGGCAGTTCCTTTTTCGACAGCAGGATGTGTCTGTAAGTCTTACAGAGATGATGGTGGGAAAGAGGTTTGGGAACTAAAGGGAGAGAATTTCCCTGATACTAAAGTAGTGGATATCAACACAAGGCAAAATTGTTCCTTATATTAAAAGGGGGGATCTTGAATTGTCTTGCCTTCTATCTGGTACCTTGACCAATGGCTCTTGAGACAATTTTAAAACTATTCATTTCAGAAGCTGAAATCAGAAATGGCAGCAACTGCAATAAAATTCATGAATCCGAAGATTAATGTGGTAGCTGAGCAGAATAAGGTTGGGCCTGAAACAGAGCACTTCTATGGGGATGACTTCTTCCTTCAGCTGGATGGTGTCGTCAATGCCCTGGACACCTTTCAAGCCAGTGAGTGCCTTACAACTGAATGCCCAGGATTCTAGTTGTTGTTGTTATTGTCCCCATAATACAGATGAGAATGGTGAGAGAGAATTGGCTTGCTTAAGGCCATATAGTGAATACATGTCAGAGATTTAAACCAAATTCTGATTCATAGTGCAGTTGCATGCATGTTTACTTAGAGGTAGGATCCACGATATTCTTCCTGACTTACCTCAAATACCTGCATTTGCAGTCCCTTACCACAGTTTATTCATCGTAGGCACATCAACTCAAAAATAAACCCTATTTCGTTCATGGGAGGTTTACTTACATGTAAATGTGAGTGGGATTGCAGCCTTAGCCTCTGTTCAGCACAATGTTCTCCATATTCTCAAACTGAATCCATTTGAAACATATGTTTATTTTAGGTTATTTGATTTCATAGTATTGTTTAGTATGGCTAGAACAGGCTTTCACACAATTTCTTTTGGACTACAATCCCCAGAAAAAGTTTTTCCCCAGTTCTGAACACTGGGCAATGGACAGTGAAAAGAAGAAATGGTGGAATGCTGCAAGGAGTATTTGTAGAAGATATGTGCATGCCAAAAACATACACAAGCTGCAGTTCATGACAAAGGGACAGGCAGGAAGATGTAAGAGAGAGTCTTTTAACTAGTGGGCATTTTGTCCTTCTACACAGTGGCCTATTAATCTCGATCAAAAACTGATTTTCCAAGTTTTTCCCTGTGAACATAATACCTGTTGAAAGGAACTGAGATACCCAGGAATGTTTGGAAAGTTTCAGGGGGAAGGTATCACATAAGTCTTACACTGTTGATTGAATTACAGATTGAGGAAGGGCCAAGCAAAGGCTGCATTCAAGGTCAAGAAGATTTGTTTGTATAAATAAGACTGCTCCCACTTATTGCTAAAAGGATGAAAGGCATCTCAGTCCAGATCCAAAGTCCAAAGCTTTTGATGTGTTCCTTGCATGCACACTCGCAGAATGCACAAGGTCGACTGTAAGGTCTGAATTCCTGTGCCAGATTTTAATCTAACCATGAACTCTTCATCCCTTATGGTCTTAGGCAAGCCATGTGGTCTCCCCACTGCTATGGAGTTGATTTAACTAGTCTACTTAATATAACTGTAATTGTTCTAAGTTATAAAAAAAAACCACTGATGTGCTTTGAATGTTTAGGAAGCACCACAATACCACTACCAAGCCTTTTTGTTATTCCATTCTTCAGTATAGAGTTACGAGCCACAGACAGGCAAATGTGTGCTTTGCAAGAGATGTGAACTGGCAGAATTTCCTGCTCTTTGGTCTGTTTTAAAAACTATAACTTTTAAATTATAGCTGAAAAGAAGGCAAGGAAAGCTGCTCCCACAAACACAGGAAGCACTGATCCATGCTGTTGAGACAGTTGTCTTTGATTTATTTACTGACTTTTCAGTGGTCTCCTTTCCTCTCATCCCAGTCCACCCTTCCCACACAGTGCTAACTTGGGCTGGATCTACATTGCCATATAATCCATTTCCTGAATCCAGATTATCTGATTTCAACTGAAGTATATGAGTCTACACTACCATTTATTTCAGTTCATATCAGATAATTTGGATTCAGAAACTGGATTATATGGCAGTGTGGATAGGGCCTTAATAAATACTGAACAATACCTTCGTCAGAATATTCCACCTAAGCAATAAGAAGAACTTCTTGATGCTTAGAACAGTCTAACAGTAGAATAATAATGCATGGAGAGTAGTGCACTCTCCTGCTTTGGGTGTCTTTAAACTGAGATTGAATGGAAACTTGAAGAATGTTTTGGTTGTTTATTCCTTATTGGCAGAAGGCTGGAATAGGTAGCCCTTGCAACCCCTTCCAATGTTGAGATTCTGTGATTTCATTCTGTACAGAGTCATCTGTTCACTAGAATCTGAGGAGAAATGGCTTCTGAAATTACTATTGTGAGGACTCAAGGCCTATCCATCATCAGCAGTGTAGACTCATATAATCCAGTTCAAAGCAGATAATCTGGGATCAGTTCCTGTGATATAAAGCAGTGTAAACCCAGCCTAAGGCAAGCATCTCAAACAACAGGTACACGAAAAGGAGCAGTAGCAAACTTTCAAGTAGAATTGTAAGGCTGTCAGTCATTAAAGCAGTGGTTCTCAACCTGTGGATCCCCAGATGTTTTGTCCTTCAACTCCCAGAAATCCTAATAGCTGGTAAACTGGCTGGGATTTCTGGGAGGTGTAGGCCAAAACATCTGGGGACCCACAGTTTGAGAACGACTGCACGAAAGGGACAGGAGTTCTCTCCAGTATTAATTCTGACAACCCTTGTTCGTCTTGAGTTCACAGATCATTTTCCTCTGCTGGAGAACAGGTCTCTAGGTATACCTGGACTGCACACCCTAAACTAACCATAAACGGGTTACTTGTTGTTCTCATTCCATCTCTTGTTTTCCAACAGGAGAGTATGTGGGGAAAAGGTGTGTGCAGTACCTGAAGCCGTTGCTCGATTCTGGGACTCATGGTGTCAGGGGGCATGTTCAGGTCTGTGTGCCTTTTCTAACAGAGCCGTATGGCCAAGCTCAAGACATGGAAGAGAAAGAGCACCCTTTCTGTACTCTGCGCCATTTCCCTACCACCATCCAGCATGCCATACAGGTAGGGGTGCTGTTGTTCTTCACAATGATAGGACCAAGCCTTGCCATTAGGTAGAATGAAGTGTTCATTTCAGGTGGCAGTTGCTGGAAGTCAGCAGCAAGGCATTGGGGCAGAGAGCTGTGGGCCATAATGTCTGCTCTGTCCTTTGCTCACAAGCTGGCCTTCTGAAGAAAGAGATCAACTCTGTCCCATGGCCATGACTGAAGAAAGATTTCACTGCCAGTCCAATCAGCTTTGAAACAGGGAATGGGAAGGTGTCTAGTCTTTCACCTCTTGAGCAGGGTTTGTATGCTGATCTTCTTCCAGCCACAGGCAACAGTGTCTGCCTGTCAAGACCCCTCTCCTGCCTTTTTCTCCAGCTGGTCCATCCCAAAAGAGGGGAAACTTTGGTTCGTTCTCAGCTGCCAAATACAACTCATCTCAGGCTTCTTGCCTGCCCCCATGCTCCCCCCAAGCTTCATTTTTTCCAGGCAGCTGCATTGAGGGCCAGAGTTGTCAGCAATGTTGACATTAGGATATGGGGTCCAGCTGTTTCTCCAATAAGCCTGGCCAAAATCCTTCAACCTGTGTGGAACATCAGCTGCTGCTTCTCTTGCTGAAGCAGGGACAGAAAGGGGGCAGACTGTTTTTCCCTTACATTCTGGGGATCTCCAGGAGATTGTAAGCATTAGTCCCTGGGGAATTAGAGAAATGAGTGCTTGGCTTTAGGAAATTGCTTTCCATGGATGGTGAATGGGCCCGAAGAAGAGATGGAGACCAGATAATGATTATTTGTTATCATGAGACTCAAATCAACTCTCCCTGTCTGTGAAAGGATAGCAAGGGTGCCAGTCCAGCCTCTCTAGGGAGAGAGTTCCAGAGGCTGCAAACAGCTGCTAAGAACTCCTTCTCCCACTTGATGTATCTGTGAGAGGAGAATAAGACAGAGCGAAGGGCCTCCCCTGAATTTTCAATAATGTGAAATCACCTGGACCCAGGCCAGATAGGGCTTCATCTGTCATATCTAATGCTTTGAATTGTTCTTGAAAAAAACTTGGTAGCTAGTGGAACAAAAGGATTGCATGGTCCCTGTACTTAGTCCCATTTAATAAACAGCACTCTAATGGAATGATAGACAAGTGTGGATATGGAATAAAATATATTCTTGTGTTGGAGTTTTTGGGTATCTTTACTTGGCACAGCCCCACTGAATGTGGCAAGGCTTGTGTCTGAACAAATGGGAGGGGTAGACTCTGTGTAAAGGATGTTCTAATGATCCCATTGTCAAAAGTCACACACACACCCACTTCCACTTTGTCTCTTACAGTGGGCTCGAGATAAGTTTGAAGGTCTTTTCAAGATGACAGCAGAGAATACAAACAGATTCCTAAAGTAAGTGTTGGGTGGAGTGAGGGGCAGGGACTTGACTGAAATGAGGATTATAGGTCACCTTTTAAAAAGCATTTGGCCCCTCGCCCCACATTGTTTTCAGCTTCTATTGGGAAGGCACAAATGCAAGGTTCCTGGGAATGGCCATCTGATAGAATACACTTCAGTCTTCAGAAGAAGTCAGACTGCTGGAGAGATTGGATATAACCAAAGTCAAGAGCACTTTGTGTGTCCACAGGGATCCCAGTTTTTTTGAGACTCAAGAAGGAGAGGCCTTGGAGACACTTGAGAAAGTGCACCTCAGCCTTCTGAAGAAGCCAGACTGCTGGACGGATTGTGTGATCTGGGCCCGGAGTCTTTGGGAGCATCTTTTCTCCCATGATATCCAACAACTGCTTCACATCTTTCCACCTGAACATGTGAGATATAACCAGAATCTTTTGTAGAGTTCTTGTCTTTCTCCCGGCCATTTCAGGCTCCCTGTCTGCTGCTTTTCTCTTTACACATTCCATTTCTCTTTTATACTCATTCTGCACTGTCTCTAAGTATTGGGCTACAGATGTCTCAAATCGAGTGCATCCAACTTTGTTCGTAGGTGCTTAATGTGAAGTCTCAAAACTTAAGTATTGCTTTCAATAAGGCACACACTTCATAGAGTGTTCTCCCACATATAACTCCTATAGATATAGATTTCTCTTAGAACAGGCATCCTCAAACTGTGGCCCTCCAGCTGTTTGGCCCTCCAACTACCAGAATTCCTGACAATTGAACAAGCTGGCTAGGGCTTCTGGGAGTTGGAGGCCCAAACAGCTGGAGAGCCGCAGTTTGAAGATGCCTGTCCCAAAATGTCAGCAGGTCTCTTACTGGCACTTCAAGTTCTCTGTTTTCTCTAAACTAGGTAATTTGAATTGCTCTTCCTGGTACTATGTTATCATTGTATGTTGGGCTGTAATTCCCATTATATCTTGCTATTTCCTGTGCTGGGAAGAGTTGATGGAAATTGCAGTGCAACATCTGAAGGGCCACATGTTTCTCCCATCCCTGCAGGGTTTGATTGGACAATTCCTCAAGCCCTGTTAAGAGCATAGATTCAACAAATAAAATAGGAAAGAGAGAGAAAGAGGGAGCACATGCTACAAGAGAAGAAAAGGGCTCTTGGGGATTTAACGAAACCAACAATAAGATTCAAAGTGGCTCTTTTTTGCTTTGCCAGCCATGAAAATCTGACAGAGACAATGGGATATAATGGCAGTAAATTATTAAGGAGATACTAGTAATGCTAAATGTGAGTTCAAGAAGACACTTTTTTGTCTCCATGTTCTATCCCATTGGGATGCAGAATTGAAAATGCTCTCACTGGCCTACTGTATTGATTTGTTGTAATGTGTATTTATCATGCCCTTTGGCTAGAACAATAAAGTTCATTGATTTATATAAGAAAGGACGAGCTAGGGTCACCCCTTGTCCTTAGTTCTTCCTGTTTGTGTACACAGACCTTTGACAATGCCATGGCCTCAGCTGCAAGCTCGCCAGCACTTTAGCAAGAGTCAGATTCCCTTTCTTTTCCTTGCTGAGTCGGTGTCCTCGCTGATAATGATACTGCTGTGGGTCATGATGCTTGTCCTTTGGATGCCAAGGCAATGACTCCCTCCATTTGTGAATTAGTGTATTTCCTTTAGTCTTGGCACAATAATCTAGGCCAGTGACTTTCCAGCTATAGTCATGGTGTCCATCAGTAACAGTCACTGATGATGTCTGACTTTAATAATCAAAGCTCAGAAATTCTACTTTTGAGACTGTAACTCCCAGAATCCTCTAACCAGCACAACCACACTGGGACCCCTAGTTGAAAAGTGTTTTTCAAGCTCTGGCATATTGAATTTTTGTTGGACCTCCTTGTATTTTTCTGACAAATATCTTGGAGGAACTGAATTATATGGTTTAAGGATATGAATGATATGTATCATCTTTGTTTTTCTCTGTGGATCTAGTACAGTAAGTCTCATTTATATAGGATAGGATACACTCCTGCCCTGAAAAGGTGGATACGATCAAATGCCACTAAATTAGCTGACGTCTTATCCCAGCATACCATAGAATTGCCTTGGAGAGCCTAAAGATTCTGAGCAATGTATCTTGTCTAGACTGATTCTGATTCTGGAGGGAGTGTGCCATAGAATTGCTCAGAGAACCTCTAGACAATTCCTTGGGAGACCATTTCCCTCAGGGCATGGGTAATGAATTGCAGATATGGGTTCTGCAGTTACAGGGATCTTACTGTACTTGTCTGAATTCTCGAAAACACTCAACATGTTCTTTTTTTTTTGCCCTTTGATTAATTCTTTTCCCCTTGTTGCACACACCCTGTTTCCAATGCTTCAAACTGCCGAAACATTTGGCCTTCTTCCAGCCCTTGGCCAGTGAGGTTTCCTTCCTCAAACTTCTGTCCCTCATATCCCATCTGCTTTTATTCTCAGGAGACAAGCTCTGGGCTTCCTTTCTGGTCAGGATCCAAGCGATGCCCACGGCAGCTAGATTTTGACTGTGGTAATGTAAGTGGAGAGCTTAATTTGGGCACTGGGGATTCAGGGATGGGGCAGATATAAGGAACATCAAGGAGAGGTCAGGACAATTACTCTGCATTGCTGGTTAGTCTTCATGTTAAACGCATGGACAAGTGTCCATTTGCACATATGAAAAATGTTAAACATATGGAAATTACATCTTATTGCATTTTGTTGTTGCCTTATTATTGCCTAGAACTAATAGGAATTATCACTTGCCATCTATTTTTGTGGTAAACAACACAATAGGCAGAGTATTCCACAAAGCACAAACTAATAGCAGAGAAATTTACTCTGACTGGATCATTTCAAGTTTGCCCTATGAAAGGAGTGCACTGTGTGGGAACTGGGCTGCAAGTACTCCAGATTCATATGGTACCTCTGGCATGCAAGTGTGTTAAATCAATTGTTCACTGCAATTGGGTTTTTGATCTGGTGGCTGGCTGTGAGCTAGAATGTTGTGTAGTGACAGGGGAAGTGAATCAGGAGTGGAACCAAGGTTCCTGGTCCATGTGTTGAGGGTGAGGATGAGGGAGAGAGCAAGGAGCTGCACCAGGTGCTTTGCTTGGGGACTTGGTGATGGTGGAATGTGCTCAGTTCCTCTGTTGTCACCTGGCTCATTGAGTGCTGTGATGGTTTTCCAACTGTGCTGTATAGACTGGGCAGTGATGTTCAGGTAGTTTGGAAAGGAGTCTCAGTTTCTTAAGGAATGGCCTGTCACTTGCTGTGAAGAGCAAGTTGGGTCTGCAGTGGGAGAAGGGGGCATATATTGTGCTGTCCTTGCTGAGCCTAACTGCTGTACTTTTACAGGACATGCACATGACCTTCATTTTGGCTGCCAGTTGCCTCTTTGCCCAGATGTACAGACTGCCTATCAATGAGGACGTACCTGCTGCCCTCCAGGTCCTCTTTGACCTGCATCTCCCATCTTTCCAGCCACAAAAGGGCATGCATATCCCACTCACTGATGAAGAGATACAGGAACCAGGGGGTGCTGTTGACAAGAAGTCCAGGAGATCTGCTGAAGGTATGATATCCCAGCTTTTTACAATATGCCCTTGCACACTCCACCAGTTCTTCTCAAGGGGGAAAGACCTACTTTTAGAAAGAATGGACTCCCTCAAACATCTGGCTTCTGGCTATTCCTCTTTTAGAAAGAGAGAGCTATGTAGGTGTTGTCCTGGGTTTCCTTAACTAGCCTACTACCTCAGGTGCAGTGGAAGATGCTAACCTGTAACCAGTGTTAAATTACAATTCATTTGTCTTTCCTGTTGGGTTCTGAACATGGTATGGGAAAGGCCTGCCCTGATGTACTTCATTCCCAATCACAACATGTCTTGGGCCAGCCCAAGGCATTACATCTGTCAAAGTGTGCTTGATTTTAAGGATCACAGATATTGAGGCCACATACTCCTCTTTTTCTAGCTCAACTGGGTTCGTGCAAAGCTGTGTCTCCAATTATGTTTTTTAGATCAGCGAAGGCTAGCAGAGCTCAAGCAGAAATTGACAGAGCTAAGGCAAGAAATGGCAAAGAACAGTGATTTTACATCTAACATCATGATACCCATTCACTTTGAGAAGGTACAAACATGTCTGTATGACTCTATTGTGTTTTGAATGTTCCTTTGTGACTTAAGGATTGCAAAGAAGAAAGACTCAAATGTTACTTTTTGGAACCCAATGTCTAGAATTACCCAGTGACTGGTGAAATAGAGGTTTTTTAATCAAAAAAGTATCTTCCCCCCAACTCTAACTAGAAGAGCATAACTCTGTTGGGGGGAAGGACTTTGTTGGGTATGATCTTTCCTACAACAGCTGAGCCAAAGTACTTCTTCAGTTAATTTCAATTTAGATCGGCTTTCCTTTCTTGAAATGACTCTGAGACTAATTTACTCAATGCTGCAATATTTGTAAAGGGAAATACCGTATTTTCCCTATCTCCTTTGTATATCAGATTGTAATTTTAAAATATATATATTTATTTATTTTCATGTGCTTTTCTTCTGATGTACACCTTTATGTTAGTACTGACATTTCAGTTTTACGGAATCTTTCCTCCGACTTGTGTGTAGGCTCAGGAAGCAATAGTTAGTGAAGTGAATGCTTTTCTCCCTCTCTTATTCTGTTCCTAGATAAGCATGATCTATAGGAATAGGTTAGAATGTCATTCCATTTGACTTTAGTGATTGATCTTTTGAATAAAGGAAGTAGCCTTGTGCTGAGTCAAACTGATGTTGTGTCATTCTAAGTGTCTGCTCTAGGTAGCATTAGCTCTCCAGAGTCTTGTACTTGTTTCTTGAAAAACTTTAAGAGAACTACTAAAATGGAAGAATGATAAATGTAAATCCAGAGAATGAAGTGGGGCTGGTTCTGGATTCATGGGCAAGCAAATTGGCCTCATCACACTAGAGAAAAATAATCAACTTAAAATCCGGTTTCTGCCTCTGCAGAATTCTGGGGTTTGTAGATTAGGGAGGAGTCTTTAACAGCCTCACTAAACTACAAACCCCAGAATTCTGCAGGATGCAGAAACTGGATTTATAGTTGATATATTCTGGATTTAAAGTGTGATGAAGTAAGCTACAGTGTAGGACTCCACATATGCAGGGCCTTATAAATAAACACAGGTACTCACACATGGGTGTGGTCGAACACATAAATATATTTTTGAGGGGTAGTGCTTTTTGATACAACTTAAGGCCTCAGAAGAGATAATAACTATTTAAAATCAATATAAGATGGGGGTTTTGTAATACAAAAGAACAACTTAACTCAGATGATTTTTTACTAAAATAATTGATTTTTTCTGGAATTTAATCCCTGATTTCAAAATTAAATAATTAACAAAGTTATTTGTTTATTTAAATGTGAGGTAAAATCTTGTGTGACATTTTTTAGCTTTGTAAGGCAATTAGTGGCAACATTCAAGCTAAATTTATATATCAATTTAACATAAATGTAATCGTTAATTCCTCCAGCACAATTGAACTGGTTAGCTTATTCATGATTAATCAAATGCATTCATCCTTCTCTCTTAAGTTTCCTGTATCTGGACCTCAACAGAGCATTTGCTCTACTGCTAAGTTACATCCTCTCCTTGCTTTACTCATATATCCTAGGCTGTTGTATTCAGCTAAAATGAGCCTGTTTGCTGGACAGTATTTTGTGTACGTTGAGTAGTATTGGGAAATGGGCCCACTTTTACTCCACAGCTGCTGCTCCATGAAGTTGTTACACACAGAGACCATTTGTTAGTCAAACTGCAAGATGCAATGTGGGAATTTTGCAAGGATTATATCCCAATATGTCATCAGCTGCCAGGATTGGGGCCCGGATTTTAGTTAAGGTGGAATATTTTCCATAATTGGAGTTTCAGTTGAAAGTTGCTGACAGATAGCTGTAATAGAAATCTTGTTTGGAGGTGATGTTTTCATTGCTTTGACCTTTAGTGTTCTTCAAGCAAGATGTGTCTAAAGTTTTGTGCTGATTTTGTGTAAGTAAATATTTATGGCTTTTCTGCAGTTTCTAGCAATTTGAAAAGGGGGAAAATGGCTATACACTGCATAAATCACTTTGAAAAAATAAATTGTAGATATGTTTCCCGCTATTTAGAATGCTGGGCATATTCACGCTATAGAATTATACCACTATTATTCCACTTTCTGCCAATCCAAGAATTCCATACGATAGGATCATAGCATTGAATTGTTGCCTATTGTAAGGCCGCTCTGAGTCCCTTTCAGAGTGAGAAGGGCAGGATATAAATACAGTAAATAAATAAATAAATAAAAATAAAAAATGGAATAATAGTGCTATAATTCTGTAATATGAGTATCTCTTGGAATGGGGTAAGGGGTTTCAATCTCATTCTCATAGGAACTTCCCACCACCATGATGCAGATAGCAGACACAGGTCCCCTAAGAGCTGGATTGGGCAGATTATTAACAGCATTCCTATACCCATGTTAAGGTGCAAATGCATAGCAAGATTCTTACCTCTGCACTTTATTTTTAAAAATTAATGTGTTGTTGTCAAGACTATTTTTACTTAAGGTGTCCCAATGAATGAGAGACCCCCCAAGTCATCCTATTATCAACAACTTAAGTTTTGCAGACTCAGGACTGTGATTTCCTTGATAAATCTATCCATCTGAAATGCAGTCTTCCTCTGCATTGTACCTTACTAAGTGTTATTGTTTTTTCTCCTAAGTTCTATCTTCTCATCCAAACTATGGCAGGCTCAGTTTCATCTTCTTGGTTTTCAGGGAGAGTCCAGGCTTGATTTGGTCCAAGACCCATCCATTTGTATTTTTAGTAGTCTGCAATTTCAGTAGAACTCTCTGCAACCATTATATTTCAAATTAATTGATTGATTTCCCATAAACTTTCTTCGCTGTCCAGTTTTCACAAACTATTCAAAGAAATGGGAAATATGGTACAATGACATGGAGAATCCTAACTTTAGTATTCAATGGTATATCTTTACATTTTGGGTTAACTCCTAGCTTCGTTACAGCTGCACTTCCAAGTCCTAGTCTTCTTCTGATTCTTCTTCACCTCACTACCTCTGAGGATGCTTGCCATACATGCAGGCGAAACGTCAGGAGAAATGCCTCTAGAACATGGCTCTATAGCCTGAAAAAACCCACAAGAACCTAGTGATTCCAGCCATGAAAGCCTTCGACAATACTTCTGATTTCTTGACAGTAGTCTCCATTCTGATTCATTACTGAGCTAAGGTATAGAAAATCTTGAACTATTTCAATATCTTTACTTTAAAGTTATATACATCATCAGTGATCATTGTTTTTGTTCTCTTAATGTTCACCTTATAAAGCTGCCTTTGCACTTTCTTTCTTGGCTTTCTCTTTCTCTTTCTCTTTCCTTTTTTTTTTTTTTTGCTATTTTTTGTTAGTAGTGTAGTGTCATCTGCATAAACCTGCTTTACATGGGATACATTCAGCACGCAAATTAAACAGAGAAAGTGATAAATTGCATCCTGCTTTGTTTCTCTATATTTTGCCCTAACAGTTGTCTCTTGTCCTGAGTACAGGTTACACATCAGGATAATCAAATTTCTTTAAGAGCTGTCCATAATGTCCTATGATCTGGACAATCAAAGACTTTACTATAATCTATAAAACATGGGATGTTTTTCTTTCAATTTTTTTGTAAGGTCCATTACCTAGCATATGTTTGCAATGATCCCTAGTGTCTCTTCATTTTCCAGAATGCATGTTGGACTTCTGGCATTTCATGCTCCATATATGGCAAAAGCCTTTGTTGCTGCAAAACTTTGAGTATTACTTTGCTTGCATGGGAGATTATTGCAATGGTCTTGTAGTTATTGCAATCTCTGGTGTCTCCTTTCTTGGGGATTGGCATATACATTGAACATTTCCAATCTGTGAGCCATTGATTTATGTTCCAATATGTTAACATATTAAAGTTGGAACTAGAGTAGATTCAGTCCCTCTATCTTGAAGCACCTCTATTACTTTGCCATATGTTCCTAGTGATTCATTTCTTCCAAGAGCTCTGAGTGTAATACCACTTTTTAAAAGTTGTAGGTTCATCCTCAAATGGTTCTTCCTTGAATGAATCTGCCATCCTTTCATCTCCTTTATATAATTCTTCAGTGTATTGTTTCCATTGTCTTTTCATTTCTGCTTGGTTATCTACTATTTACATTTCTATTTTTATTTAATTTTAATTTCTCTTTGATTTCTCAGATCATCTAAAGGAGCTCTCTTGTTTTTCATTTCTTGTTGTCATCTATTTCTCTGTTGTTCTGACTCTTATTTCTATCATCTTTTACTTTTGCTTCTCCTTTGTCCTGGCTCCTTAGCAAAAGCTTGCCTGACATGGGAGACCATACCAGTAGCCTTGCTGCTGTCAACATAATCTCTTGTTTCACAGGAACACATAATCCCTCCACTGTGGAAATGTAGTGCTAATTGTGTGAGTGTGTTGAGTTTGCATTATTGTAGTCTTTGTTTTTTAATTATTGTTTGCTAATCTTCTAGTTGCCCAACATTCTTGTTTACAAGTTAGAAGCCATTCTTCATTATTCTCTACCAGCCATGAAAGTTTGAGTCATCCATCCATATGACTCCTAGCTATCACATCAATGTGTCAGTAAAGAAACGTGGATGTAGTTGAGTAAAGACTATCTGCTGAGGTACATGTATCAAACAAAGAAATGGCTTTATCTAACACCTCTGTAAATTGCAGTCTCTGTTCCTAGGCTTTGGAAAATCTAGACTGTCGGAAATAGATAATAATCTCTTCCTCAAATCAAGTGGGGGTAATGTTATTCTGTTACAGCAAAACAAAAAAGAATCATGTGGTACTTTAAAAACTAACTAATTTTATTTAGCATAAGTTTACAAGGACCATAGTCTATATGCTATCAGATTATATGAGCTACACTCCAGGAAAGCCTGTGCCAAATGAAGTTGCTAAAGTTTTTGAAGACTTATTCAGTTCTTCAACATAGCCCTTAATGTGTCACAAAATGCTCTAGTTTTCTCTCCTCATTTTTCCATTGTCTTCTTGGTAGAGCTTTCAATACATAGCCCACTCAAAACTCAAAATCCTCTCCACTGTCCTTGCTGGGTGCACATTTTGGAGTTGTAATCCAAAATACAGTGAATTTTATATGGTTCTTCTGAATGGAGAGCCAAGTGAGCAAAATGTCAGCTGTTATCAGGCACCTGAACCCTTGAAATAAGATTGGATTATAATTTCTTTCTCCCTCTGTAAATGAAATGAGAAATGGTTACTATCTTGTTCTTTGTCTCAGGCAGCCAAAAGCCTTCGGTTGGCCCTATTTTGGAAATGTGAATACCATGGTTACTCGCATTCTGTATCTGGGAAAGTTACATTGTGCCATCCCTGTAAATAATCCACATTTGAGCACTGTTATTTCTTTGACATTCTTGTTTTTGTCCTTACTAGTCCTGGGGAAATGCAGGAAGTTGTGCATGTAATTGAAATCCCACCTCTTAAATTCTAGAGCCCAATGTATATGCAATGTAAGACTTTTGTTAGAGGTCAGTGTCGGGTTACAGGAGCGCATGTTTCACTTTTCATTTTTTCTCCTCTCCCCATGTGCCCTCTCAGTTCTCACGCATTCCAGAAACTAGATTTGGAGAGGTACCAACATTGTATTAAAGTTGGTCAGACATAACATTGAACTGTACTGTATTGCAAGGGTGTGGTGTGGAATTGTCACATAAGAAGAAAGAGATGGAGAAGGAGGAGGAAATGGCATGTACAGTCCTGCCACCTGAGCTTTTTTTTTTTTTTTTAACATAAGGCCAGTATTACGTGACAGCTGTGCTGGCCATAGGCAACTTATGCAGCCAGACACACTTCTGTGAGATTTCTCCAAGAATGGCCTGTGGGCTTTCAAGTAAATTTAACAAAACCTTAAGGCTAAAAGATCTTTAAAAGGAAAATTGTAGGATTCTTACAGTGAACCAGCATGGCACAGTGGTTTAGGTGTTGGGCTAGAACTCCAAGAGACAAGGTTTCGAATCCCTGTTCAGCTGTGAGAATCTACTGGGTGATTCCTATGGCTAAGCAGTCTCTTAGCTGAAGACGAAAGCCGAGGCAAACTTCTTCTGAATAAATCTTGCTAAGGAAACCCTAGATTAGGATCGCCTTAATACAGAGTCAACTTGAAGGCACGTAACAATAAGGATTCATAAGACACAAGGTTGTGTGGTAGAATGGGAAACATTTGGCCTTCCATCTGTTTTAGATTTCAGCTTCTAAGGGACCCAGACAATAGAGCCAATGTTAAGGGATTATGGAGGCTATAGTCCAAAATAAAGTTCCACAGCCCTTTTGTATTGCCAGTGTTTAAGTCTATATATTTCTGTATTAACTTGGCAAAGGCTCTAGCTGTACCTTATGCCATGTTTGTATACACACTATGCATGCCTGTTGTTATATTCTGCAATCACTTTGGTTTAATTTCCACTGAGACCCTTTCTTTCTTTCTTTCTTTTGTTATTTTTACCTTTTTACCCCCTTCTTGACTGTGACTGATTTTGCAATTGTGGGTCCCTCAGGATGACGACACCCATTTGGACTTCATCACCAGTGCAGCCAATCTGCGAGCCAAGAACTATGGCATCCCTCTCACTGATACACTCCAGGTGAAGGAAGTAGACTGGGCTTGTGAAGTCATTTCTTCATTGCCAGTGAACTCCATGAAACAAAATGGGAGTAGGGGTGGGGAATATATTGGCATACATTTCCTCCTTTTCAGCAAGTTCAAGGAGATGTGTGTAGAGCAACTTTATTTACTTGTAGTTTCATCCAGAGAGAAAGGAGTGGGATAGTGGGAATTTCAGTGTGAGAAATGATAGCTAATTATGACATCTCTTTTATCATTTCTCCTTCCACTCTCTGTGCTCAGCATATTGTGTCTACCCCAGCATCCCTCTCTTCTACAATAACGTGACACACTTTCATACTATCTTCATGCCCACTGTCTGTTTTCATTTTGACAGACCAAGAGAATAGTGGGGAGGATTGTTCCTGCTATTGTCACAACTACAGCAGCTGTAGCTGGCCTGGTATGCTTGGAACTTTACAAGCTGGTGTGGAGACACAGGGACATCCGTTCCTATCGCAGCAGCTTCCTGGGGCTCTCAGAGCCCTTGCTCCGCTTCCAGCCTCAGTTGGCTCCACAGTCATACAAGGTGAGAGACCTGTGATGGGTTGGCAGTGTTCATCATACCTTGAAGGCAGAAGGGCTCAGTAGGGATTGCATAAGAAAATAACGGATAAAGAGGCAAGCCTATATGGATTTTTTGGGGCTGCCTACAATTTAATGAGAAGCTCTGTACTGTAGCCATCTCATTTCTTTGCGATTCCAAGTGGCAGTCCAAGACAGTCCAAGATTCACTTTATTTTGTTGTACACTTCAGTGTACTTCTGACAGCTATTCGGGACTTTACAATGTCTACCTGGATATTTGAGTGTGTGTGTCAGGCTTCTGTGTTCTTGCACTGCTGCTGTAATGTCTGATGTGGAAGTGCATCTTCATATCCCTGCACAAGTTTCTCTTAACAGCAACAGTAGAACAATAAGAAGCGCAAAGGTTTTGAGCATCCAAGCAGCAATGGTGTCATGTTTTCAGGCAACATGGTTACAGTTCACTACCACTTTAGCCAGCAACACCTTACTCCTGAAAGTAGACCAGGTAGTCACAACTCACAACATCAGATTGCATAGCTAGTCAGGTGGGAGATGTCGAAAGAGCTGGCTGCACAGGAGTATGGGTGACTTTCAGATTGTGGAAAAAGCCTTCCTGGGCTATCGCTCTTGTCTGCTATTTGGGTACTGAGCTTCTTGCCAAGATCTGATGTGTGTGAGGTGGGGGTTGGGAGGAAGGGCTGCTCCTGCCTTTCCTGAGCCCCTTCTGGCAGACAGACGGTGGGGAGATCTAGTTTCAGAAGCCAGTGCCTGGAGTGTGTATCAGACTAGCAGCAGTGTAGAAGGCGAGGCAAGGCTGCCTGCGAGCTGTCAGACACAGGAAGTGGTCTTTAACCTGCAGCTGACATGCACAGCTGGTGCCAAGCTGTACACCGATGTGGAGCTCTGGCTCATTTTTTGCCCCTAGCCAAACCATCCTGCTTTTCTTTGTCTTTCATCCATGATTCCAAACCTGGGCCCCTCCAGGTGCATTGGTAGACTCCTTGGGTGTTCTGAATGGCATTGACTATGGAGCATTCATCAGAGGCTTAACAGCTGGAGAGTTTCCAAACAAGAAATAAACAATTGTTGTCCATGGGCTCGAATATGGTACCAGCCCCTAGTACAATGAGGCAAGGTTGCTTGTTCCCTCCTCCTTTCCCCCCTTCAGATGTCTTTAAGAAGCACTGGCTCAAAGGGCACTGTAGCAGTGTGCCTTCAAATCATTTATGACTTATGGTGATCCTATCAGAGGATTTTCTAAGGGTGAGAACATATGACTTGCCTAAGATCACCCATTGGGTTTTCATGGCTCAGCAGGGATTTGAACCCCAGTCTCCAGAAGCACAGCCTCAGAGCACTACGCCATGCTTGCTATTCTTCAAGAGAACATATGGGGCAACAAATGCTCATTTCCTTTGTGTCTTATAGAGAGGCCAGTCTGTGGACTGTGGGGCATCTCAGTTCCAACTGACCTTGTAGACAAATCGTAGATGTGTGGTTGGCCACCTTGAGTGTTGCAAAAAGTCCTATTTTGCCCTTGCCCTACACTACCTTCAGCTGATTGATATACTTTTTTGTGTCTAATAGTGGTAAGAGTGGCATTATTGTCAAAGGCAGGGTGACTTGCTAATTAACTTCTGAGTGGGCACATGCGTTGGCAGCACTAAAGTATATCAATGTATTTCTCTAGTACTATTCATTGCATCTTATCTGTATGGGAAGAAAATGGTTTTTGTATCCCACTATTCTACCAGAGCCATTGGCAGGCCTTTCTCTGGGAAAGGATTCAGCAAGAGATCATTTCCATAAGAGATCATTTGTTTGTTACATTTCTATCTGATCATTCCTCCAGTTAACAGAATAGCATGAATGGATTTCCCAGGCAGTCTCGCAGCCACTTATTAGCTAACCCCGGTGCTAGTTAGCTCATAGATTTCACTGTTCCTTACACTGAGTCATTTTACCCCTTCCTTTCCTTACTACACAGCCTGCCTTGCCTTTAGTGCCACTCTGGAATTGCTTCTCCATGACATCTTGTTAGAGTGCGGGAAAGTTCCTTTTTTGGACTACAGTTCTAAGAACCCTCTGGCTGGCATGACTTAAACATTAAGGCATTTTTCTATATTAAATGACTCTATGAGAACCTGCATTTTTAACACTGAGACAGATAAGCAAAGGTAAGGTTATGTGCATACTCATACACACATGTATGTGCACACATTTGCATGTGCACATACACACACACACACACACACACACAGGCTTTGAGTTTCCTTCTTTTGTCTCAGCTCCAGCACCATCCGCAAGACTTTACTTTTGTATTCATCATAATTTGCTTGGATCGGACCTGTTTTGGCTTCATTGCAAAAAACCTCCCTTTTCTAGAGAGAGAAATCAGAGCTGTAACGGTGGAGGGAAAGTTGGGGAGGGGGGGAGAGAGAGCAAGGAGCTAAGAGCGTCTGTTTGAATAGAAGCCTTTTTGTCTTGAGTTTATGGAGTGCGAGGCTGGGGCTTCCTGCTACACAGGAAACGCAGATTGGAACCAGATTGGTGGGAGAAAGGGGGGGGGGGTAGGCAGGAAGAAGGGGAGGGCAGCTCTTCCATCTCCAGTGATTTCCATAGTTCCTCTCTCTCTCTCTCTCTCTTCCTCCTCCTTTCTTCCCAGTTCAGATCATGCTGGATGGCCCGAGGGCTCACTTAGCACACACACACTCTATCTAACATTGTCAAATGGCCTGTATTTTTAAAGGATTTCTCAGATTTCTAAATAGTGTAGCTCCCTATCACTGTCAAAGCATTCACAGGAAAGGCTGCGGGTGGCTTTAATGCTTGTGAAATTGGGAAACTGAATTTAATATCCAATTCAGTAGTGTGTGTATGTACTCCTCAAAATGTGAAGGCAGCTTTAATCATGCCCAAGAGACCTGAGATCAGAGTAGCACTGATCAGAGGTAGACTTAAGGGAGAACTCGATATACTAGTTGATCTCTAATTTCAAGTCAACCCACAAAGTTTTCTGAAACAAGATGTTTCTGCCCACCTCACCCCACCCCCCAGCAAAACTTGGAAATATTACTTTTTTGGACTCTGTTTCCCAGGATCCCTCAGCCTGTGTGGACAATAGCTATGGTGTCTAGGAGATCCTGGGTATTGTTGTCCAAAAACGGTAGCCTTTTTAAGTTGATGGGGGAATGTATGGATTTCCAAAGACAGGAAAGCTAAGGGGAAAACCAGGAGTTGGCTTTTGTGTGACTTCTATTGATAGTATTGTAGTTAACATGATCGATGAGAACAGCAGCCACTTGAGACAGCAAGTCCTGGGTTTTGTACTCCCCCGCACCCCAGGCCTCATAGGACAAATCAAGTTTCTTTATAATTTTAGGAGGAAATAAAGCCCTGGGCTTAAATCTTTTATCTATTCTTCAGTTTGCAAATATGGAATTTGCGTGACAGAGAGAAACAAGGATGGAGAGGTGATCATGAAGTGAACAAAATGAGGAAAGGGAGAGCCAAGGAGTAGCATCAGAAGATGGAGAGGCAAGCTGTGTGTGTGTGATTGTGTATGTGTGTGTCGGTTTTGCAAACAGGAATCAAAAGCTGTGCTGGTTCCAAGAACTTGTGGAGTTGATTAAACAGCATATGGGAGCCATTAGTTAGTAAGAGTTGGCAATTGGGGGAAGGGAGCTCTTATAGTGGCGCCAAAGGATTCCCCCCACCAAAGAGATTTGTTGGACCTTTGCTCTTCAGTGCTGTAGCAGATTGGGGGGGGGCAGTTAGGCTGGGAGCCATAAGGTTTCAGTAGACTGTGATATAGCAGGCTGGAGCAAAGAAAAAGCCAGGCAGAGGGAAGGAATGGCATGGGAGTGAGAGAGCAGTTTTTGAGGCTGGGAGCTTTGCTTAGAAAAGGAGTGAGCAACTGACCAGATGTTGATCTCAGTTCCCCTCATCCCCCCCTACAATATCCATACTGGATATTTGTAATCCAACAACCTATGAGGAGACACATGTTCTTCAATGCTCCCACTTCAGAATCAGAGCTAAATAGCCTGTCTTCCAATTGTGGGCATTCATTTTGATCATAGAATAATAGAATCTTAGAACTGGAAGGGGACACAAGGGCCATCTATTCCAACCTTCTGCCACATGGAAATGCACAACTAAAGCAGTCCTGAAATATGCCCATCCAATCTCTCTTTAAAGACTTCCAAAAGAGGGGCGTCCTCCATCTTCTGCCACAGCCTGTCCCACTGTTGAAAAGTTCTTATAGTCTATAAAGTCTTCTTAATCTTTAGGTAGAATTTTTTTTCTTGTAATTTGAATCTTTTGATTTGCGTCCTAGTCTCTGGAGCAGCAGAAAACAGAAAACTCCAATTTCTACATGATTTCCTTCAGATATTTGAAGATGGCTATCATGTCACCTCTCAGCCTTCTCTTCTTTAAGCTAAACATACCCAACTCCCTAAGTCATTCCTCATAAGACTTGTTGGTCAGACTTTTGATCATGTGGGTTGCATTCCTCTAGACATGTTCCAGTTTGCCAATATCCATCTTGAATGGTGGTGCCCAGTAGTGGGCACAGTATTCCAGGTAAGGTTTGACCAAAGCAGAATAGTGTAGCACAACTCCTTCCCTTGATCTGGACACTATACTCCTCTTGATGTCTACCCTTTGCCCTATCATTGCGGTGCAAAGCCCTGCAATAAACTTGTTGTGAAGCATATAAAGCTGTATGTTGGAAACCTATACCAGAAATGTTCCTTTTCTTTGCTAAGGACACAGCCTGTTTGGTGTCTGCTTTCCATACTATCCTTGGCTTAGCAGAAAAAGGTGAACAGAATCAGGATGTGTAAAATGGAAATCCTGAGCAAGAAGTGCTAATGCCTCATGGTGAGTGTGAAAGGCCAAGCCTGCCAAATGGCAATTGGGGAAAAGGAGAACCTTCCCCTTTTGCTGACAATGTAGACAAACAAATGAGATGGGTCTTCTCGCTCCAAATGGTTAAGATGAAAACATTTGGCTCTCAACTCCAATCTCTTTTTCATCACCTCCTACCTGCCCCCACCCCCAAGAAAGTGTCCTGAGGTTTCTCTTGTTTCCACTCAAAATATAGACTGTGAGTGTGCCTCTTCATCTTGATTTGGTTTGGGTATCATCCATTTTCCCCTTGTGCTATTAGAAATATGTGTCTGGCAATTTGAATTAACGCAACACTTGAGTTCTTGTTCCTCCTTCCGCCCTCCATTCAGTCCCGTTTCTTCCTCATTTGTGTTCAATTCAAAAAAGAAGCAGAAAAAATCTTACCAGGTCTTGCAGGGAGCACATTTGAGCATAGGTCTTTAGTTTCCACTGTTGTCTGCACACTTGTTTATGTGTGACCTACAGAATGTCAACATATTGTTTTAATTAAGTAAGAAGAGAATAATCACTAAAAGAAAAAAAGATAATTCTATTCCTGGTTCCCTCTGAATGCATGTATGGGAGAATCAAATTACATCTGCCATCTTCCTTATATGAAGATAAAATTATACTTGCCTCATGATACATGAGATGACCTGAATTTTTGTACACATATAGAAAACCCTGCTGGACAGTGGGAGACTGAGTGAGTGAGTTATTTTAGCCCCTTCCTCCCATTCTTCAAACTTGGAACATAAAATGCGGCTGTAGGTAATTAGATCAGTGATATACCTATTCCAGTTTAGTTGTTGATTAGCAGTCCTCCTGTCTTAACAAGAGATTTGCAGGATTTTTCGGAGGCAACGCTGAGGGAATCGTTCCAGGAGTTGAGTTTGACGTCTGTAGATAGTCCATGTTTAACAGGCATATCTCAGGGGTGGGAGTACCACAGCATTATAAAAAAGCACCACCAGCATTGAATTTATTTATTTATTATTTACCTTACTTATATACCGCTGTTCTCAGCCTGAAGGCGACTCACAGCGGTTCACAACAAATACGAACAGCAAAAATTCAGGGCTACAGTATAAAAACAGCCAACAACCCAACACATTACACAATTAATAAACAGTCACTACAATACCCATTCACTGTCGTCTCGTCATCAAAAACATGTTCCAGATTCGTCATCCATTGTTCCATTCCAGTGTTCATTAACCAATCATTGAAGCAATACTCGTACGACATCAACTCCGCTGGACTGGCCACTTTGTCCGAATGCCCAATCACCATCACCCAAAGGAGTTACTATACTCTCAACTCAAGAATGGAAAATGGAATGTTAGTGGAAAGGAATAGAGATTTCAAGATGGGCTTAAAGCCAACCTTAAAAACTGGCATAGGCACTGAGAACTAGGAAGCCCTGGCCCTTGAGCACTCTAACTGGAGGTCAGCTGTGACCAGCAATGCTGCGGTATTTGAGGAAGCACAAATTGAGGGCAAAAGAGAGAAACATGCCAAGTGGAAGACACGTCAAGCCAACCCTGACCGGGACCACTTTCTACCTGGAAACCAATGCCTTACTGTGGAAGAACATGCGGATCAAGAATAGGTCTCCACGATCACCTATGTACCCACTGCCAAGACACTACACTTGGAAGGCCATCATACTCTGACAATGAGGGATTACCTAAGTAAGTAAAGTAAGCATGATTGTCAGTCTCTCTCCAGAGTTTTAAGCAGGATTCTTCCACATCAATCCTTTGCATTTACCACAGAGCCATGGAGCCTATTCCTAGAGAGAACAGGGCTAATGGTACACTTGGAATTGAGACTTGTGCAAGGGAACCTGAATGTACGAGACATACAGATGCCAAAGCACATGTAGTGACCTTTTTGTGAGCCTCTTCTTCTTTAGATGTTCTTTAACGACATGAGAAGGAGTTAGGAGAAAAGTATAGCAGGAGACAGTCATGTGAGTGGCACAAGAGACGTATTCCCTTATCTTATAAAATCCATGAACCAGAGGTTTGGAGGGATATAATATCTTGTAATTAGCTGCTTCTTTGGTTTTAAAGCAGAATGTTGACTTATTTCTGCTATTACTTGACAAGAGGGAAGTTTTACTCTTGAAGCTTAAAGAAATGCTGTGGTTCAGGCCAGTCCTTCCCCTGCTGGCCAGTGAGTTTGCCATGGACAGTGTGTCTTTTGTGCTGCCTGACCCCACAAAGTTCTCTCTGATCAGGGCACTTCCTGCTATGAGCTAGTAAGTAACCCCAAAGAATCTCTTGTTAAAGGACTGGATACTTCTTGTCCTTTTCTCTCTCTCTTTTTGCCTAGAGCCAAACAAGCAGGGGAACAGCACAGGGGTCTGCGACAACGTTCTGCGTCTTGTTCTGAAGAAAAGGATAATTGTACATGGGCAGAGCACCATCTCAATGTGTCTTTGTGCAGTTGAGGGTTACAGATCATGAATGGACAGAAGTCCCTTCTGTTCGGCCCATTGCCAGTTTCTGCATTCAGAAACACCAAGGCTGGAAAGAACCATTTAGGTCATCCCAAATCAGATTTCCTATATGAAATGCAAGAGGAATGACTTCCACCAATTGATGCTTTGCCATGGCATTTCTCTTGTGTTGGCCTATATGAAAATGTCTTTTCCGGAGGAGGGCTGGTTTTCTTCTGAAGCCTATTGTTTTCATTTACTAGATGAGTGCTCTGTCCTCTAAAACAGCAGGAGAAGTGTTTCAGCACTGGAACACCTGAGTGGGATAGGTTCTTTGCTGATCTATGTAGTGTAGTAGTGGTAGAACCTTTCTACATCTGTTTAAAAACGTCAAGAATTTTTTAAAAGCAGGTGATTGTGTTGATCTATAGGTATCAGTTTTCATCTCTATAAGGAGCTCGTCTTTGGTAAATCCAATGGGTCTTGATAAGTCAAGATGAGGCAACTACAAAGTACTTTGGGTGACAACAGGGATAGTATGTATGAAACACTGCACTGTTGTTGGGAAAACCCTTATCTCCTCTAGCTACTGGGGAGGATTGCAACTAAACCCATCAGAGAGAACAAAGGGAATCCAGAGGGACCCGGGTGACATCATAATCCCTTTTAAACAAAAAAGCTCTGGAGTTGTTTGTCCATATGAACCATGACTCCACTATACCTCTCACTCTCAGCAGTTGCTTTGAATCTGGGTTTCCCTCATCCAAAGCACATGTGGATGTCACATGGAAGAAGCCTCTGTGTCCCATTGCTTGCCTTGTTGTTTGGAATTGCATTGGTTAATTGGGAAAAATATGCCATTGGAAATGTTATGCCTGATTAGAATTAGTTTAGTTTTATCTTTTATTTTTGTTGGCTGTTCTCGTGTTCTGCTTGGCTAGATTAAAGGGCCGCCCTTTGGTACCTAAAACCTTCTCCTTTTTGAAGGTATGCTACAATCAGTTCACCTCTTAACCTTGTTTCTGATAAGATGAACAGACTGCTAGGTTCCTTTGCACAAAGATTGCTTTTTCAGAAAACTCCTCTGTTCTGACATTTGATTGCTCACTGAATAGCGGAGCCTGAATTGGACATGGTGTCCAGAAGCAGTTAGTGTTTCTGTGTTGGTTTTATGAGCCTTGTTTTGCTAAAGTAATCCCAGTAGTTAAAGTAATTGAAATGATCTGATGCTAGCATTCTGTTGTCACTAGTATTTACCATACCACTCAGAGGTAGGAAAAGTTACTGTTTTGGACTACAGCTCAAGCTTTTATTCTCCCAATATGGATTATTTACCTGCAATCCTCGTGCAAGCATAGTTACCTTACAATCTTTTATACATTCATTTAAAAGTAATCACACTGTATTGAATGGAGATAATGTTCTTGCCCCAATCCAGCATGGTGTAGTGGTTTGAGCATTGGGACTACAGTTCTGGATATCAAGGTTTCAATCCCTGCTTGGTCCTGGAAACCCACTGAGTTACTTTGGGCAAGTCACACACTCTCAATCTCAGAGGGAAGCAAAGGCAACCCCCTTCTGAACAAATCTTGTCAAGAAAAACCCATGATGGAATCTCCGTAAGTCAGAAAGCAACTTGAAAACACACAGCGACAATACACACAACATTTTATTGAGAAACAAGAAACCCCAATGATGGGTTTACCTTAGGATCACCATAAGTCAGAAATGACTTGAAGATACAAAAGAACAACTCCCTTGTCAGAATATTTGGGGTGGCAGCTTTGGAAGCAGGACTTATATAAAAGGTGTCACATTTTATAATATTTGAGAATGAAATGTAACTCATGTCACTCTACAGAAGAGGGTCCTGAATCTAAATGGCAAACATCTTCCATGATGTCTTTATTGGAGTGCTCAAAAATAATTCACCTTCTCTGTGTGTTTGCTGTATTGTCATGAACCAGTGAAATGGGTTGTCATCCACAAAACCTTATGTTTTAGTAAATGTATACATCTTAAGGTCCTGCAAAGTTATTTGTTTGCTCTGCTGCAAGAGACTAACATAGTCTTGGCAATTGGTTTCTTCTCAGTACCACCAGAAGACATGGAGCTGTTGGGACAGGATTGAAGTGCCAGGTTATGATGCCAAGGGAGAAGAAATCACTCTGAGAGACCTTTGTAGTCATATCCAGGTGAAAAGGATAACAAAGTTGAAGGTTTCATGAACTCATTGTTGCAGCAATTCAGAGAGTGCATACTGCAGTGGCCCATTCCACACGTGCATGCTTCCACCACCCACTCCTTCCTTATACAGTATGTTAAAGTTTCAGAATGGGACTTCCTCAATGGCTCCAGAGGAGGTGATTTATGCAAGTGTAAGTGCTATCAATCCATGCTAACAATCCATGAAGGGTTGGTGAGCATAGCACCACATGGTGAGCATAGCACCACATGGTACCTACTTGACTTATCTCCTGCTTCATCTCTGAGTACAACAAAGGTCCCTTGCCACCACTACACATGGCTGTACATTCTTGATGGGATGCTGCCATTTTGTCCCAGTTACATTGATTGCCCCATCTCAAGTTCAATAGGATTCCTGCAGTGTCTGTCTTGCTTCTTTTCTGACTATTCTGTTTATCTCATCTCCATCTCATTCCATATCTTTTGTCACCATTTAACTATTTCCATTTTATTTCTGTCCACTAATAGCATTTGACTCTGAAACACAGCAACTGACTATATGTCCTCCATTGACTGTATATTTTCCCCCCTAAAGACTGTGTTTCACTCCGATTCCAACCTCATCTTTTTCCTTTTTTTCTTGCTCTCCAGCTTTAAGCTTGGACATTGATATCACACACAGTATCAAAAACACTCTTCCAATTGTTTCTAGTCATCAGGACTACTTGTATGATACCACTTCCTACCTGCTTTTTCACAGAGGGAACACAACCTGGTGCTACGGATGGTACTGTATCGTGAGGCTATTCTCTATGCTGAGTTCTGGGAGAAAAGGCAAAGAGAGCAACATCTTTCCTACAGGTAGGAGCATTACAGAGTAAGGACCTCAAACGCTTAGGAATTATACATTCATTCAGTCCTTCCTTTTCAAGGAGGAATATACTGGAACCTTTGTATTCTATGAAATTGGGTTCCATGACCTCCCCATTACCAGGATACCAAAATCTGTGTACATCAAAGTTCCATTATATAGAGTGGTGTAATAAAATGCTATCCTATGGCAAAATCAAGCTTTGTTTTTTGGATTTTTTTTAAAATTCAAGCCATGGATGGTTGAATCCATGGATAAAGAATCTACATACACAGGACCAACTATACTAGGGGCAGATATGATGTGATAGCCATGTGATGTTAGCTTCCTCCCACTATCAGCCCTGTAGCAAGCACCCTGTGACAGAAGGAGAAGTGGTACATAGTTGACTCCTTGTCGCACCTTCTAATGGCACAAACTACCTAACACCCCTGTGGTAAACTGTACTTTGTGGGATGTAATTTGGCTCATAAAGACTGTATCTAGTGAAACATTTACCACTCTTTCAAGAGTCAAGCAGAATTTGGAAATGTTGCCTTTTGGGGGCAGCAACTCCCAGAGTCCTCAGCCTGGAAGGATTCTGGCAATTGTCATCTAATTTATCAAAATCTGGGACTCAAATATGATTTTGGAAGTGAAGTAATTGTGAGACCTCACAACTGAATAGCCATGAAGGCCATTGGCAGCAACGACAAGCAGACTTCTGATTGTGAGGCTTATCTCAAAATCTGTCTTGATGTTCCAATTCTCACCTTAGTCACCTTCCTTTTATTAGTCTCTGCTTGGGTTGTATATCTCCACTATGTGTCTTCACATACAAGGATGAACAATTGTGGCAACAATCTTTTTTTTTTTTTTGCAATATTCTCCTTGTATTAAAAAGGTCATGGAGTCTTGCAAAGAATTCTGCACACAAAAGCAATTTTTCTGTGCAAACCATCACATTTCCCCCTGCAGAATAAGTTATTTACATCTCGTGGCATTCAGATACCTAGAGGAAATTGTGCTAATTTCTCACTGGTCTTATTCTTCTTGACGGGGATCTACTGACAATTAGGAATCCCATTTTTGATCGGACAATAAACAGTTACAAATTACACTCCCACCCAGAAATGGAGTCCCCCAAGACACTGTTTTAAATCTTACCATTAAAAACCAGAGAATGTTCAAAGAACCCAAGACAAAATAGTTTAAAATAATCTGAATCGGGGATTATTAAAATTTCACAAGCTCCCTCAAGTATTGAGGACTTGCTTCTGTTAGTTTTCATGAGTTTTGGAAGAAGGACTGGCAGTGCTGGCTAAGCACAGTCCTAGTTAAGCCCCTTCATCTCAGCTACTTGCAGAGGGGGGTTGGAAGTACATTTGTTGTGCTGTTGGGTTCCCTGTGCTAAGCCCTGGGGAGCAACAGTCCTGCTGGCTATGTTTGTGGGGTTTACAGTGGTCTCAGGGTGATCCACAAGAATAAGGGACAGGGAAGCTATGGCTGCTGCCCCGCAAAGGCCCCCCTACAAGTACAACCCTGGGTACTGTATCAGCAGCAGCTGTAAAGCCTCCACGTCCTGTCCCTTCCATACTTGGGTAAACATCCTGCTTGTCAGCACCTCCTTCTCTGTTTCCTGGGCCAGGCCTCGCTCATCCCCATTTGAAACGGGCCATCCTGGACCTCTGCCATCCACGTGGCAACCAGGCAGAGTTAACTTTAGTCCCTTATTCCACAGTCTTTCCAGACTCCTTGGCAGCTTCTCTTATTTTTGTCTCACTTCCTCTTCTCCCTCCCCATTTCACCCCCAAACTGGACTGCAGACTTACACAGACAACTTTATCTGTAACTCATGTTTCTGAGACAAAGAACAATATGTGTATGGCTCCCCTCCACTTCAGAGAAGGGGGAAAGAGTAAGGAGAAAAAATAGTGCTCCTTGTAGAGACTAAATTAATGTATTCCCCTCCTCTGGGATCACCATTCACGTGCTGTGTATGATTCAAAAAGAACAACAAGGGGGGAAATGGCAGGAGGCAAGTTGAGTTGGTCAGATAGCCAAGTGCTGAATAATACCACGTCTTGCTTTTGGGTCCTCCTTGTGGGCCACCACAAGAAACAGAATACTGGATTTGGGAGAGCTTTGCTGAAGTCCTGTGAATATTTGTCGTCTTAGTTTATTGAAAAAGATATTTGCGAGTAAAAAATCCTCACTGTGGTGGTTGTGACCACTGGAATTTTTAATTTGGGGGCTACAATTCTCAGAATCCCACAGTGGTAATTGCAATCTGAAAATTGTAACTTTTGCAAGTTCTTCCATTGGATTGAGATGTTAGGTGTAGCTCTATGTAGTGAACAAGATATGGAAGGCAGAATGAGGCAAACTCTGTTACTGGAAGTGTCAGAGTCCACTTCAAGCTACTTGGTTGCTTTGCCACTTTCTTTAGCATCTGCACCACCCTCACACTGGCCCTGCCTTTTATTTTCTCAGGCTGACTGAAGCGGTTTGCCAGACTTCTGGAGAGGCTGTCTCCCCAGAGCAAAAGCTCTTGGTGTTGTCAATAGTCTGTGAAGATGAAGAGGCTGATAATGATTTACCACCTGTTCATGTCTGGCTCCATCCAGTGAAAACTGAAAGATGAGGAACATTGGCTGTATATGTAAGTGTAATGAAAAGATAATATCCATAAGCCAGACGTACTGAATGCGTCTGATCTCAGTTCTGTTTAAAGCAGAAATTTTGCTTGGTCAAGAGTGCTTGTCTTGCTCTTGTGGTCTAAGCATGGAGAATGAATCAGGAAGACGTTACAACCAACAGGATTGGAATTTTGTTGGACTTGAAAAGCTGCACTGGGCACTCCATATCACTTTTGTTTGAGAAGAAGCGTGTGGCTTGGCAAAAGGGCACATGATCCAGTTCAGTCTCCTCAACCTATTGCCCTCCAGATGCGTGGGTTTCAATTACCATTGTTCTGGCATGACTGCTAGCTAATGATAATGGGAGTCATAATCTGACACATTCAGAGGGTATCAAGTTATGGAAGGCTGTTATAACTGAGATACACTTAAATGTTTTATACTTTAATTTATTATTATTATTTACAAAATTTCTATCCCACCTTTCTCAACCCAAAGGCAACTTGAGACAGCTTACACATTGGTAGCAATTTGATGCCACAGCAGTCATGAATACAATTAAAACATTTAGCACAAATTATAAAAATCCATACAAAACCATTAATAACATATAATCACCAATATCTACTTGTTAAACTCATTTAACTTCTTTAACTGGCTGGGACTTCTAGGAATTGAACTCCAGAATGTCTAGACCAAAGTCTGAGAACTACTAACAAGAGCACTCTAGCAGACAATTCTAAGCACATCACCAAACTACAAATTCCAGGATTCTGTAGCATGGAGTCATGGAAGTTAAAGACAAATCAACGTGATCTACTTGTGTAATGTAGCTATACTTGCCTCTTTCACACTGCACAATTATAGCTTTGTATTATAACTTTAACTGCCATGGTTTCAGTCTATAGTAACATAGGACTTGTAGTGTGATGAAGTACTATAGAGAGTTCATATACAAATCCCAGGATTCCCTGAGATGGAGTTGTGGCAATTACAGCCGAATGAAAATGCTATAATTCTGTAGTACAAAGGGGACCTTAGTTTCCAAATGCTTCCTCTCATATTTATCATCAATAAATATGAGACTGCTAAATCCAATGTTCCTTTGGACAGAACTTCCTTACCCTCCCCTCTGCCACCTCGTCCTGCAGCCTGCTGCCTGAAAACTAGCTTCAAAAGGATTCCCAGTTTCCACAGCATATGTGCTGTGGGAATGGGAGCTTCCTTCCTTCCAAATCTGTTGAAATCTATTATCAAAGTTGGATTTACCTATAATATCCACCCCACCCCCACCACACTGAGCACTTTGTATGATATATTCTTATATGATTACACAGCTGTTGCTATCTCAAGTAAATTGTAGCACAATTCAATATTTGTGGCTAGATTTCAAAGAAAAGGTTTCAAACATTCTCTGCAGTAACAGTACTAGCAGCACGGATAAGATCAGATAAAGCTAACTGGGACACTGGCCCTGCTTTTCTCACATCTTCATTTTGGTAGAATAACAAGTGGCTAACATTAGGCGAGGAGCACTATGGCCGGGTGCCCACTGACAGATTGCCCCTCGTGTTTACAGTCAACTTCTAAAAACACATTAGACTAATGAGCCAGGCTTGATGGTGAACGGAAGCTTCTTTCATTTCAACAGGGACGCTGCTCTTAGGAAAACTGCCTTTGGATCCCGGATTGGACAGAATGTTTTTGCCTAGCTTATCTCTCAAGTTCTCCCGCAATGACTGGAGCTGCAAACAGACCAAGGCAACACACAAAACAAAATGTACGCCAGTAACTTCTCTTGAAAATCAAGACCCATTTTGCTTTCTCCTCTTTATGAATTCTCTTGTTCTCTTGATTGATTGGAATGAAGTAATAGTGATCTTGAAGTTGCTGGGGCTGCTCCCAGATTTCGGAGGCTAGGATAGTCCCATCTCTTTTGTCTTTCTGAAGTAGTCAGAAGTTTCTTCATTTACATAGTCTGTTGGCAACTGTTGTTTTTTTAAAAATGGAGTGTTAATGGGTGTATCCTACAAAAGTCCTTTAATATCCACTAGGGGTTTTCCCCCCCAGATCTCCTGTTAATACCAAAATCTGTGGATGCTCAAGTTCCATTATATATATATATATATAATGCTGCCGTAAAATACTGCCCCCCATGTAAATTGCAAAATCAAAATTTGTTTTTTGGGTTATTTTTTAATATTTTAAAGCGTTGACTGTATATTTTCAATTGTTTTTCTTTTTAGTTTATATATTACCCATTTGCCCATTTTATTAACTGATTCGAAAGTTCTCAAATTCATTTTCAGTTTCTTGTCGACTTCTGATGTTGTTAACATCAACATTTCTACCTGTAGGATTTTCATTTTTTGTGTAATTTTTGGATTGTTTGGATTTTTTTCTGTTGCTCCAGAGACTAGAACATGAAACAAAGGCAATCCCTCCTCTGAACAAATCTTGTTAAGGAAAATCCATTAAAGATTCACCTTAGTATCTCCTGTTTGAAGGAATGCAGCAACAAAGCAAATACGTTTATCAGGAAAAGTGGAGATTCTGGTTCTGCTATGTAACATTTCCTGGTGGCTTCACAGTAATCCTGGCTTTTGTAATGCTGTGTTGCCTTGGTTCATTCATGACTGTATGAACGAACCAAGTGGGCAAAATTACTAAAGGAATGTAAACAAAGCAAATATGAGAGTTTTGGATATGGCTGATGTTCAGTGTCTCAATTTCTGTATTGCTACAAATTTGGGAATTGAAGCAAAATGGGGCAGAAGTATTACTTGGAGGTGAATGGCCTTATTTTTCCCCCTCTGCTAATGGCTATACCCCTTTTCATGCCCATGTAAAAAATTTTGTGCCCAATAAAATACTTATCTCCTAGCACAACAGCTCCTGACTTGGATGTCTCTTCCTGCTAAATATCCTCCACACTCATACTTCCCTGGGATCTTTCTTCTGATTCCCTGTTTCACTGCCTAATGGCAAACTTCTATAGTTATTTGTCATTCATTAGGTTTCTGACCAGAATTTGTTGGGGGTGACCCATAGATTTACTTCTTCATTACATGAAATGGAAGTGTTGGAACATGTTTGACTTTTAGAACCGTGACTAGATATGTTGGTGGCTGCTGAATGGACACATTTATAGCCTAATGGCATGGGCAGCTCTGGCCTTCCAGATGATTCTGGAGTGCATTTCTTATCATGCCTCATCATTGGCTGTGTTGGCTAGAGCTGTGGAGAAATGTAATAATAACTGTATTTATATCCTGCCACCATCTCCCTGAAGGAACTCAGGGTGGCTTACAAGGCACTTCAGGGTGCACATATAACATACAATAGGTAAAAACGGTACAAAAGTATAAAACAAGTCATTCAAAATTATAACAGCAACCCACGTCAACACATGTAGCATAAGTAGGTCTGGCTTACCTATCCGAACATATCTCTCCTTATGAACCATCTAGGACTTTAAGATCGTCTGGGAAGGCCCTGCTCTCAATCCCGCCTTCCTCGCAGATGCATTTGGCGGGGATGAGAGACAGGGCCTTCTCAGTGGTGGCCCCTCAGCTATGGAATGCCCTCTCCAGGGATATAAGATTGGCTCCCTTCTTTCTAACATCCCCCAAAATGGTTAAGACCTGGCTCTTCAAGCAAACCTTTTCTGCTGGAGCATAATTAGATGTAAATGAATATATGGAATGACTGACAATGCAACTGGATAACGATTTTAGTAAGGAGACGCTGAGGATCTTGTTTTTACAGATATGTTTGCTTTTTATATTACATTTTAAATGTTGAATTGTTTATAATTGTTTTAACTGTATTTTGATATTTGTTATGGCATTGAATCGCTGCCGACTGTAAACCGCCTTGAGTCACCTCTGGCTGAGAAAGGCGGGATACAAATGCAGCAAATAAATAAATAAGTGTAAGCTAAAGCCACCTAGATGACCAGTTACTCACGTGGCTCTGCCCCAATCATGTTGAAAGGGGAAATTGGAGAGGCGAGGATTATGGCCTGATTTTGACAGCAATACAAGTTGGCATGCAAGGGTCCAGGTGCCAGAAGACTAGCCCTGTTTCACCTTACTTTTCTGAAGCCTATAAATGTTATATTTGAATAAAGGACTCAGGAGGAGGGTGGGAAGCAGTGAAGTCTTTTGGGAGTGTTTTGTCTGGCAAAGCCAGGCACACCTTTCATTGACAAAATCAACCCCCCACCCCTTTCTCCACAATAGGGTCAGATCTGTCTTTATTTCAACACAAAAATCTCCTTCTGTTTTATCTCAGTTTGTCTGGCATGCTAAGGCATGCATGTAACTGATATGAGACAAGTTGAGATCACAGGCTGAAGTCCTCAAATTAGTATACTTAACTAATGCCACAGATTTCAAAGAGTCTCATAAAGGCTCTAACTTCGTGACAAGATCCAAGGTTCAGTTTCCAGCACTCCCACTCCCCTCTGAAGGGAATCTGAAGTCATAAGCACTGAAAATGCCCCTATTTTATTATTCTGATGCACATTACCATGATAGTAATATATTCATTTCTCCTTGTTATGCCAATAAAGGCTTATTGTATTGTATTGTATTCATTTCTCCATAGGTTCCAAAAAGTAGAATAAGATTTAATTTCGGGAATATAAGGATAGTAATTCTGCTGCAAACAATGATTTCAGAGTGGATATTCTATGTTCCCAATAAAAAAGCAAAGTTGACCCACCGCAGTATTAGGTAGATACCACACCAGCAGAAGAATGTACATTTTTGCCCTTGAGTGTTGCTTACATGGTCAGCAATGCAGGCCTGATGTTTATAATAGTAAGGAAAGCACTGAAGAAATAGAAGGCAAGAAGGCTGCCTCCCCCAATCCGGTGCTCTCCAGATGTGTTGGACTGCATGCTGGCTAGCAACGATGGGAGTTACAGACCAAAAATACCTTGGGAATATCAGATTAGGAAAGGATGGGGATCAGGCAAGGAAATTTTCATTTAAAGTGAGAGACATAACATACTTATGTTGCCTGATTCGTTTATTCAAAAGATAAAGCCAGACCACAACATCTGGGAAATAATGCCATGCCATTTTAAAAGAGGTGCTACTTTCAACAGGGCAAGTGATTAACTATTGCAAAAAGTCCCACAAGGAGGTTGAATCACTTTTCCGTCTCTGCAGGCTGATCAAATCATGGTAATAAAGCCCAATCGCTTTTACGGGCAAGGTCTGATGGAGGTATCGGCATGTAGCAATAGCTAACATTTGGCTGTTGCAAATGAGGGGAGAAAAATTCCATTGGTTTGTGTTACATTTTGCTTTAATCCTCCCAGTCTACTAATTCAAAGCAGAGGCGTGTCTTAACTCTAAGGAGGTTTGTTATGGAGGTTCCTTCATTGGCTTGTTGTAACTGCGTTTCCAGAGCAAAATGATCCAGGCAATGGCTCATAAACCAATTGTCTTCGGGGTCATTCACATAACTGTGCTAAGAGGGACAATGCCCTGATAAAGAAGGGAGTTGACCCACTGATCCCGGTGTGGCATGTTGGTGAAAGAATTATAGTTCAAAAGGCAGAAGTGTCCATTCAGGGAACCAACTGCGCAAACTGGAGTGTTTACCATATTAGTGGGCATGTGAGAACATCATGTGGCTTTCTTATCACACAGGATGTGTCTCTTCTTCTAACTCCAGAACAATGCAATCCAATTTCTTTACCCTGACGGCATATGCTAAGACTGACTGGATGTTTGTTTTCCTGTGATGTCTTCTTTTGCTTTCCAGTTCAAAATGGTTTGCAATAGTAAAGGAACAGAATGTTAAAAGCACTACTCCCTGTCCATGTACATGTCTATGTAGAAATATATGATTTTGCCGTCTCCAAGGAATTATTTTTAAAACTAGTCTGCACTCCTTTTAACTCATTAGACCACCTCCTTCCCCCTTCGCTGCCCTGAATCAATCATTTGAAATTAAGGGTTATCACCTCTTAGATTAAGGTTGGACAATCTGGCCCTCCTGGTGACATCAGACTGCAACTCCCATAATGGGCTATGCTGGCTAAAGCTGATAGGAACTGCAGTCCAATCACATCTTTGCCCTGGAGCAAAGGGAATGTTCCGATCTTGTTTTTTTATACAGAAACTGGGCAAGCCGGTGACTCTTACTTCAATAGAGGTCTCTTTCACACTATGGCACTTTTGTTCTATGGGATGCAGGATTTGTAGTTTATGAGGGACTTCACATTCTCTGAGAGAAAATTCTGAATCCCTCACAAAGCTAAAAATCCTAGTATTCCATGGGATGGAACCAGAGCAATTGTGGTATCAAAGTGATCTAACAATGCAGTGTGAGAGATCAGAAGTGACAGAATGTCATCCTGCACTGCATCTGGCCAGCTTTATAGGCTGTATGGTGGGGTGCATGTTACCACTGTCATGCCCTTCAACACTTTATTACTCTTCTATATACCCCAGAACCTGCTCCCTGATACCTAAATACCTTAAAGGCATCAGACCCCATCCAAAGTTGAAAGCTAAGCAAGAGCAGCCCTGGATATTTGAACAGAAGCTGTATATATTTCAGAGGAAAGACCTGGCAAAACTACTGCTGAGTATTCCTTGCATAAGAAATGTGTGAGGTCAACATAGATTGATAGGTGACTCACACACATTTCTACCTGAGACAGCTGCTTTCATCCTCTTCTTAATAGACTAGTGGTTATGAATAGAAACGGCCTCTGATAGCACAGTACAATTCCAAATCATATCAAAGAAGAGTATAAAAGTGGCTGGGATTGAGGATTAGGGATAGTGCAGAGCTTGAAATGCTTCCACTTCAGCAATGATTCCTGTTACATTCTGGGCAAACAAATTCCATGTGGAGTGCATCACTCCACCACACTGGAGTCCATGGCCACAAAAGAGGAAAGTGAGTGGCTGGGCACTCTATTATGACTACACATCATCCCCAAGTAGGAAAGAGGGAACTAGGGGATTTCAGAGATATTTGGGTTCCAAGTCCTATTAGCCCCAGTGAGCAGAAGAAATGAGAAGCTTGTTCAATGATACTGGGAGGTCCACAGATTCTTCCAGAGGATTGATCTGCTGGTAACTATTCGCCATGTCTAGCCAGTTGAACATCCAGAAGCCGTAAATCATTGAATGCTATGTGAAGAAGATAGAATGTGGAAATGTTTACACCTGTGCGCATTACCCATAACCTTAAACAGGCAACCAAGCTAGCCCCATTGAGAAACAAATGGTGAACTAGATGAGCTTTGATCTGAGCCAGCAAGGTAATGCCTGTGTTCAAGTGTTTGGTGGTCCATTACTGTCTTGTCCTAAGCACAATGTGTCATATTTTCTTAACTCTCACACAAACATTAAACAAATAATTTTTCTACATGATAGATGAATAGCAGGGTAAGGCAATGGGTGGCCTTCCAGATGATAGAACTCCTATCATCCTGTATCACTGGATATGCTGTTTTGAGTCAATGGAAGTTGCAGTCCAGCAGCCTTTTTAAGGTCACAAGTTACTCCAGATATAGATAATAATTCCACTCCAATTTACTCTGGATATTTGGATACATCATGAAGAACCTGAAGGGAATATAAGCAGCTCTAAGATCAGTTGTTCCACTATGTGGAATGAAGGATTTGTCCAGAGAATTAAAATGCCACTTTTTAATTTTCTGTCTTTCAAGCCCACATGACTGCAGAAATGAGACTGAAAAGCTTGGGGACACCACCGACATGATTTTTAATGGGGCCCCCTCTAATAGGAGTACCTAATTTCAATTTTCCAGTCCTCATTGTTAAAATCTCTGTAAAATAATCACCAAGGACAAATTATGTGTGACACTTGTCATATAGTTTGGTGCTACGTACCTGATATTTTCCATTAAACAAGGCCATTGGTGGTGTGTAGGATTGGGACCACGGTATAGGAGGAGGACTTTTACCCTTTGCTGCCTTCATGGTTCAGATTGGAATTAAAATACCCTCCTTTTTTGTTTAATAGTTCAAAGAGGGCTGAAGGCAACTATTAAAACAATTGCAATTAAAGATACTTAATTAAAGGTGTGCAACATTCAAGATCTCTGACATATTTACTTGAGTAATTTATGGAAGTTTGACTCAGGTATTTAATTTAGGACAGTTGTTCTTTTCTAAACGGACGGCTTGAAAATTGCTGAGGCACTTAGACAGACTCCTTGAATAAATGTTTTCATTGTTACCATTGTTCTGCAAGTCAGAACACACACTTAAGTCATGAAACCCATAGAGACACACAGCTAAAAGCAAGAAATAAACTTTTGCTGAATAGTGGGCAATGAACATCTCATAGACTAGCTACCTAAACAAATGCCACAGAGTAAAACTATGGATGTAGTGTAGGAGAGTGGTGCCGACTTTTGCAGGAGGTAGAGATTTGCTTCTCAATTAAATGTGAAGAAGAGTAAAAGAGAATTTTTCTCCTGAGCTCAAGTATAATTGACAAAGCCAACGCAGCGTAATAAAAACCATAGGCCCTTGGCCACACGTCTAAGAAGAGCTCTCTTAACTGGTACATTGTTAAGGAAAACCAAGCAGAATGTGATACTGCCTTACTATCAATATTGTGTGACTTTGTTAGCCTCACAAAATAGTCCAGAAAGTCATTATCAGAGAAATATTGTCAGAAAAAAGATAGTACAGAGCTATGCCTTTTCTACAACCTTCCCATGGTTCACCTGAGGGACGTCCAAGGTCATTGTTTAAATACCTCTGATTTAGAAGGGTTTTTTTTAATAGAGAGAGAAAAGCTAGAGATGGTCAGGTAGAGCCATCAGCGGCTACTGCATTTTCTTATGCATAGAATGACCTATTGACGCATTCTAATTTTGATTTACTTCCTTTCTGACCATAAGATATTGCATTTCAAATTGTACTTTGATATTCTGTATCGTGGAGGTCTGCAATTTTTCCACACATATCTCGTAATTCTTATCATCATGTCCCTTTATTTTTATTGCTATTCTAAGGGATGGGTGGGAGTAAAACCTTGGGTCCAGCAGCTGTCAGGTCATCTGTAAACATAAGTGTGCTCTTGAGAAGCAGGTTAGCCTTCTGTGGTCTTTTCCAAGTAATCGCCAGAGGTATTTGAAGCTGTTGATGGAATAAATCCACACTCATAGAAGTGTAAGGGACTGCTGCCCTGTATTTCTACACTCCGTTCTCTGTTATATCATTACACATAATTGATGAAGTTAAAACAAACTAATTTGTCCATCAGACCTGTTATTATTAACCGACTGTGTGTAGCAATAGGAGCCTTGATGAACACCAGTTCTGAATCATCAATTGAGGTTATGTTCCTAAACTAGACAGAAAGGCACATTGAATATATTCCCTCCAAATCAATATGCACAGAATAGCATTGCCAGGCTGCAGTTTTCTCTGTCCTTATTTCCATACAAGTCCCAGGGCATTGCACTGTTACATTGTTATTGCTTTGATCTTCCATAATGCACAATTGATAGCCTAATTAAATATTTTGATGTGAAGGTTAATTACCCCATTGACCCAAGACTGAGCTTTGCTTCAAGTATTCCTTTCACCATTTGTCTGGCGGCCCCAGAGAGGACGTGTTCTGCTCTACAAATTCCAGCACGACACCTCCAACACCGTATTCACTTTACCAGCAGATAGATGCTAGGATGCAAGCTATTCTGGCCACCATCCACAGCCCTTGTCTCTGCTTCTGACTATCTCCCAAATGTTGTGCTGAGACTCAAGCATAAACTGTTCCACTGTAACTAGGTAAATGGCCTCACTTTAACTTTTTCAAGTATCAGATTGGCATGCTGCTCAATTTTAAAAGAAATAATGAATTTCAATTAGGCCCATAATACATATAATTTTGTCCATAGGATGCAGCCATGGCAGTTAAAATAGCACCATGTAATTTGAAAAGGCCCTATAACTCCCAGAATCCTCCATCCAGCATGATCAGTGGAGGAAGAGGGATTTTAGGGGGGTAATCCAAACAAAGATAAGATTTCCAAGCTGTGCTGAGAAGACTTTTTGAACTGAAAGTTCATGGCTTCTTGCCTCATGTTCATTCAGTTTAATCATAGAATAGAATCATAGAATCTTAGAGTTGGAAGGACCACAAGGGCCATCCAGTTCAATAATGCAACTACTGCAAGGTTGGGGAACTTGTGGTACCTGACCTCTTGCCTAACTTGGTTAGGGTAATGTGATTTGCACAGCATCTCAAGAGCCCTAACCAGCCCTAACCTATGAAAAAGGGCCAATGCATTCACTAAAACCCAAGATGAATCCATCAGTGTATAGCTAAAAGGTAACGGGGGCAAGATGTGTAATGTGAATATATACACAGAGATCAGAACATTCTTAAAGTACAAAAACAACAACATTTATTTACACACGACCATAAAAATATAGATCTGTTTAGAAAAAGGAGGATTATAAAAGAAGGCTTGGTTAGATGTAGCCAATCACATCATTGCAAATGATGGGTTGCCGACTTCGGCAGTTCATGAGGGCAGCAAAGCTGCTACAGTCTGTGGAGAGCTCACTGATATTCGCGTGGGACTGGTGAAAGTAGGGGAGGGAAGGCCGCCCTCCCAGGCCCACAGGGCACGAGAAGCGCTTGGTGCCGTCAGAGTCCTGTTTGGCACGCTCCGTGCGTGAAATGCCAGCCAGCCTGCGGCGTACATTACCTGAGAGATTGAGCAGGAAGCCATGGGGTTTGGCCAGCCAGCGCTGAAGCCGCCCACGCTCCCCACTCTCCTCAGGTAAGTCCATCCAGTTCTCAACCAAGTCGGCAAAGCAGTTGTCCCCCAGCACCAGAGGTTGTCGGTTGCGGCTCTGTGACAGGAGGGAGACGGTCCAGTCTCCCGCATCCACTGGTTCAACATCCCGCCATCGTTCCAGGCAGGCATCAGAGGCGGACTTGGGACGAGGCCTTCTGGCAGGTGGTCGGCGGCGCAAGAAGCCCCCAGAGGAAAGTTTGCTGGCTCGTAAGGGTGGGGGTACCTCTTCATCCCGCCAGCTGCTCCCAGACACTTCAGAGTAGCCAGAGTCAAATTCTAGGCTCCGCTCGCTGCTGGGAGGAGAGAACGCCACCTCCTCTTCTACGGCCACCTCCAAGCAACAGGCAGAGTCTGCTTCAGACAGTCCTGACACTCGGGGACTGGTGCACTGCTTTGGGGAAGGGATGGCTGGGGGTGCCTTCCCCATCTCCTGGGGATCCAGTCGGAACTCATGGTCGTGCACCTTCTTCAGATCATGCAGCGTCCGCATCATGCACTGCATCTGTCCCCGCAGCACTTCGCTTGACTCCTTCATGCACAGCTGTGGGGAAGAATCGAGACAACTTCAGTTTCCTGGCAACAGTTTATTTCTCTGATTTTCATCCCACCTTTCTCCCCAAATGGTGATTCAAAGAGGATCACAGTAAGATTTTTTTAAAAATAATAATAATACAGATGCACTAAATTATCATATTAAAGCAGAATTAAATCAATTAAAATATTAAAATACAGCCAAATTAAAAGTAATTTCAAAACAGTACACCACCCACCCCATCAAAAGCCCCTTTCAAGGCAGATAGGAGCCTGGCTAACTAAAAGGCAAGCTAAAACTTTTTTTAATCATCATCATCATTATTATCATCATCAGGCTCAAACCCAGAACCTCAATCAATGGCTGACACCAAATGAGAGACTCCCTCCTGAGCACACAGAAAACTGGGTGACTTGGAAGGAGCTGAACAGACTGCGCTCTGGCACCACGAGATGCAGAGCCAACCTTAAGAAATGGGGCTACAAAGTGGAATCCATGACATGCGAGTGTGGAGAAGAGCAGACCACTGACCACCTGCTGCAATGCAACCTGAGCCCTGCCACATGCACAATGGAGGACCTTCTTGCAGCAACACCAGAGGCACTCCAAGTGGCCCGCTACTGGTCAAAGGACATTTAATAGAATACCAAGTCTGCAAACCATTGCGTTTTATTGGTTTATTAGTTTTTAATGCAATACAACTGTTTTGGTTCGCTCCTGACATGACAAATAAAATCATCATCACCAACTGCTGGTGGGAGGATATCAGAGAGGGGCCCAGCACAGCTTCCTTTTGTCATGGAGCTCCACAGCCTGGGGAAGCCACCAAGAAGGCCACTCGCCACAAAGACATGGCCCCGTTCTGTTGTAACCCTGGTAATGTAGGTAAAACCAGCATATAAAATACCAAACCAAGCTGGATGCTTTAGATTGACTTAGTCCAAATAATTAAGCCTACTAGCTGAATATTATGCATCCAGAGAAAGCTATGTGTGGATCACGAGTTGAGACAACACAAAAAGAGAGCAAACAAGAGGATCATTGACTCCACAAAAATGTGCTCCTGACCCCACATGACCCAGCCCCCCTTAGGCAAAACCATTTGCTTTAAAAAGAAGCCTTTTACTCTCTTCATGCGCACATATCTAAGATGGTTCTCCGTATTACAGGCACAGAACATTGGTTTGCCACATACACACACGGCTCCCTCCTCTCTCCCGCAGCTTACCCTTTCCAGGGGTGTTCTTGGAAGCCCGCAAAGCACTTCCGAGGCCTGCTCTGTGTGCCAGCAGGCTGCCTGCTAGTTTTCTTTCTTTCTTTCTCTTTTTCAAAGCCTAAAGCACTTGGGATTTGCGAGGGGCTGTACAGCTCTGACTGTTAGCCTAGGTGTGGAACTGGGAGCCAGACCCGCACGCGCAAGCCCTTGCCCCGTCTCGCCTCTGCAGGCCCCTGGCCCCGAGGCAGAGTTTTTCAGCAGCATCTGCGCGTTCCAAACCCATCCCCAGCCGTGCAAGCAGCGGCTTGTTGCAGTTAGCAAGTTGCCCTGCCTGGGGAGATGACACAGAGGGTGTGTGAGACTCTCCGGGAATTACACAAGTAGTCCCCAGCCATGCAAGGAGGAAAAGCCAGGAGATAAGGGCCACAGTCATTCATAGTGTGGTGAAGGTGGTAGAGAGGGGGGCTGCTCCCAATCTATGGCAGCATAAACAAGGGTGAAGTTCACTGGGGTCTAATGACCTTCAAGGCGCTGCAGCCCCTTTCACTAACAATCGCAGGAGGAGTCCCCTTTTGTTTCTTTATCTGTCTGTATCTTCAACCCTTTGGACAACCCCCTTGAACGTCATGGTTTTCTTCAGGAAGGAATACTCAGGGCCCTTCCACACAGCCCTATATCCCAGAATATCAAGGCAGAAAATCCCACATTATTTGAGTGTGGACTCTGATAACCCAGTTCAAAGCAGATATTGTGAGATTTTCTGCCTTGATATTCTGGGATATAGGGCTGTGTGGATGTGGTTTTCTCAGGTTTTTTTTCCCTCTGAAGCATAGCCTACAGAACCTGGTAATCATTGGTGATTTCCCTTCTATGTACAAACCAGGGCTGATCTTGTTTAGCTTCCAAAATTAGATGGGATCCATAGTGCAGGAAAGAGGGAGGACAGGATGGGGCACTGGAGCTTCCAGTCTGATGCAAACTGTCCTTTTTGGATGCAACTGGGAATTGCAATAATGGTAGCCCTCTGTTCTCAAATTAGACCTACAATTAAAACTGAGGAAGAACATATCCTTTCCAAGTACTGAGAAAACTATGGCTCACAATTGAAGAAACCCTGATTTGATGAAGCAAAGGAAAAAAAGGAGTGTGACAGCCAGATCAGTATTAATACAGGGTGTTTAGGACATTGAGGGAATTATTTCAGATTTCTCTAGTATGGCAGTAGCAAGAACCCTCTTGAAGGCTCACAAGCTAAATGCAGAAAGGTATTATCAGGGAGGGTGTATGACAAGAACACAAACTCCCAGTATCTTATTTCTTCTTCCATTCCACTCCCCCAAGCCTACTTTTCATGGCTTTCTAAAGTCTTGTTGCTTCAGCGCTCAAATGTGCCATACACCATCACTCCTCCAGGCAGACTGGTGGACATTGTGACAAGAAGTGATTCATTGAGCATGTCTGGTGACACAACTCAGAATAGTCCCCCAGCGACTGGCTGAAAACCTGGAAGATATTAAAATATCTGTTCTGGGCTATGATTTAGCAGCATTTCCAGCACTATCTTCACAAACCATTTAAAAATATTAAAACTGCAGATTACCTCTTGCCTCTCTCCTCATCTCTCTTGAATATATAACGCTTCCAGTCAAGAAAAAAATACCCCGATCTCCCTTTCTAGCACTGCATCAGATAAGCTTCATTTACACCACATCAGTGAGTCAGCTACTGATGAGCTTTTAAAGGAGAACAACCCCCTTTATGAGGACTGTACTGGTTAGGAAACACTGTTGTTTCAGCACACAGTCACAGCTCAACAGCTGTGAAGACAAAAAGGAATTTTCCTGACCTAAATATCAGGCAAGCTTTGGGGATATGACTCAATACATCCTCAAAGACTTGTGTCCAAGATGGTAGTATCTATCTAAAAGATAATGCTGCAGATAGCCAAATAATTGCTGTTTCACAAGAGCACTAGGAGAATTTTCTTGTGGCTGATAAATGAGGCCCATAAACTGCAGTTCTCCAAAGGTTTGAAAGTTGCCAAAGACTGCTCTCCATCCTGTTGCCCAACCCATCCTGTGCTCAATATACCTTCCCATCACATTTCCCTCTTTTCCCTTGACTGCTATCATCTTGACCACGTAAGAATTATGCATCTCAGTTCTAACTTCCTTTACGGGTTCTGGACCCCAAATAATGACACACAGAGAGGGAGGGATCACAGCATCAGGGACACATACACAACAGCAACAGGATGCCAGGAGGCCACAGATGACTCTATGGTAAACATCAGATTGCCATTGGGACTGGACAAGACTGGGAAGGACCAAGTGAAAGAAAGATCAAGCATGGCAAAGAACAAACAAGGCATCTACTTAAGCTGTTAAGACAAAGATGTCCTGGAGATATGTATGTAGCATGAATGCTCCGTCCTACACAAGGGTCCAGGATGCCAGATAGGAACAACTCATCTTTGGCAACTTTCAGACCCGTAGTGAATTGCAGCTTATGGGTCTCATTTATCAGCCACCAGAAAAATATCCTAGTGGCCTTGTGAAACATCAATTATTTGGCTATCTACAGCATTATCCTTTAGATAGATACTACAATCCTGGACATAAGGCTTTGAGGATGATATTGAGTCATACCCCAATGCTTGCCTGATCCCTGGACTTAGAGCAGGGCTGGGAAAAGTCTGGATTTCCAGGTACAGCTGGACTACAAATTCCAACAGCTCTAACCAGTACAACCAATGGATCATGGGAGAAGTAATCCAGTAAACATCTGGAGAATCATAGGTTAGATGGACTGAATATGCAAATGGAGAACTGTCAGCTACATATAATAGGATGCCATTATTAGATTACCACAAGGTTGCCCATACAGAGAGAATTTTCAACACCAATTTTCCTTATGGCAGTAACTGCAGAAAGTGTAGTATTTCCAGACTCAACACTAGCTTTTCCGATTTCCACTCCCAACTTCAACAGAATAACAATAATAAAATGACGACACTTAATAAAACCAAAACCTAGCTTTTTAAAAAAAGCAGCAAAGATAATCGGATCATCCAAACAACAACAAACTAGAGCGAAAGGGCTAAGATACCCTCTCTGAAATAACAGTAAAGATGTAGATTTTCTAATGCCTTCAAGCAGAGGTCCTAAAGGCAATGAGAAAACGCCACTAAATCCTTGCCCAAATGGCTACAGTCAGAAGCCCCTGGTGGCGCAACGGGTTAAACCTTGTGCAGGCAGGACTGCTAACAGACAGGTCAGCGGTTTGAATCCGGGGAGAGCAGGTGGAGCTCCCTCTGTCAGCTCCAGCTCCCACAAGATGGTAAAACATCAAACATCTGGGTGTACCCTGGACAACGTCTTTGCAGATGGCCAATCCTCTCACACCAGAAGTGACTTGCAGTTTCTCAAATCACTCCTGACAGAAACACGATTTGCCAGAATGGTGAAGCCACTCAAAGGTCTCAAATCATTAAGACCTTGAAATGTTAACAGCAGCAGCTTTGATTGGGGCCAGAAGTAAACAATACAACAATAACGGCATCTCCTTGCATTTATTCACAGTTCTTAGGCAGAACATTTGAGAGTTTGAGGACTCTGAGAATTCGAATCCCTGTTTGGCCATGGAAACGCAGCATGTGACTTTGGGTTAAGTCACACTCTCCTGGCCTCAAAGGATGGAAAGAAAATCCCCCTCTGAAAAAACTTTAGAAAAGAAACCCCGTGATAGAGTTGCTGTAAGTCGGAGACAACTTGAAGGCACACAGCAAAAGCAACAATACAGAAAACAACTCATAAGAGCACACAAGAAAACGTTTCTGTACACACAAAACCTTTCTCCATAATCCCATTTCATACAGAACATCCTTCTGTGAGGGATGCTGGGGAAGTCTCCAAGCCTATAACTGAACAGTAGCATGGGAAGGCAGCGGCAATCATGTCTATCCAATGGTTCTGTTTACAAAAGAGCATAACATGCTGCATATTTCACAGTATGGCTTTGGCAAGGCAGCTGCTCAGCCCCTTTTAGGGACCCCATTCCCAGTGACAGAGGAGATAATTTTGCACTGCATATAGTCATGGAGCGGAGGCTGCTCTGGCCTTTCATCTTTCACAACATCTGCCAGCCTTCTGGTTCTCACTCAGAAGAAGAAGAAGAGCTCCGCATCCCAACTCTCCTTCCACTATGACCTCACTTCCTGCAGGAGGCCTTCCCAGCATTGACTCCCTTACACCAAACAATTTGCTCCTTTATATTCCCATGGCCGCTAGTGAAGCCAAATGGGAGGTCAGCCTTTTGGCATGCTGAAACGCCTGTCATTTTAGAAAACTGGGAATGGAGTCCAAATGCAATGCAGCATTTCTTCTATCTTGCTCTATTTCTTTTAGGGCTGTGAAGAAGATTTAAAGAATTTCAAAACCCTTTGAGACAATTCTGTACTTTACTTGTTATGTTTCTTCAGTGGTTTAAAACCTGGAAAAATCCCACACCTTGTGTGACTGTGGAGCAGAACAGACAACTCCGCATCTATATGCTTGTCCACTATGCCCTGCCTCATGTACAGAGGAAGAATTGTTGGAGGCTACAGACAATGCCATTGCTGTTGCCTGTTTTTGTCAAAAGATATTTAGCCGCCTGTGCTCCTTCTATTTTTATCAGTTTTATGCTAATTTATGCAATGCTTTTGATACTAAATAAATAAAAAGTGGCTTAAAGCTCCTTACTTCCTAGCAGGAAAACCCAAGTGAAAGTGGAGGAACAGTATTTATATCTTCTGGTTTATTATACTTCATAGAATCACAGAGCTGGAAGAGACTTCATGGGCCATCCAGTCCAACCCCGTCAAGAAGCAGGAAAATTGCATTCAAAGCACTCCTGACAGATGGCCATCCAGCCTCTGTTTAAAAGCCTCCAAAGAAGGAACCTACACCACATTCCAGGGCAGAGAATTCCACTGCTGAACACCTCTCATAGTCAGGAAGTTCTTTCCTACAAATTTGGACCCACTGTCCAGTCCAACCATCCAGTCGCTGTTTATTGTTTTGTTTTTTGTCGTGTCAGGAGTGACTTGAGAAACTGCAAGTTGCTTCTGGTGTGAGAGAATTGGCCATCTGCAAGGACGTTGCCCAGGGAACGCCCGGATGAATTGATGTTTTTATCATCCTTGTGGGAGGCTTCTCCCATGTCCCCGCATGAGGAGCTGGAACTGATAGAGGGAGCTCATCTGCCTCTCCCCGGATTCGAACCTGCGACCTGTCGGTCTTCAGTCCTGCTGGCACAGGGCTTAAGCGGCTGAGAGGGAAAAGGAAAGGGCCTGAGGCTATTAGGAATAGTGAGAGTTGACATCCAAAACCCCTGGAGGGCCAAAGTTGGCCCATGCCTAAGTTAGGGCAATTTTCAGAGGCTGCAATACCTTTTCCGAACACTAGAGGGCAAGGCC